CCTCCATAGATTCATCGCCAACCTCCACCTCCAACTGGACAGGGGGCGGGGAGCTCATGTCCGATCACCAACACCCTGAAACATAGAGAACAATAAATTGAGACCAATATTAACTTTTCAATCGGGGTAATTCAATACACAATAGGAGAACAATAGGTGTACGAACGCCGGCGTTCGTCTAGGCTTTGACATGTTTGAACCAAACTTCCTTTTCCTAGCTCTGCCCGCGTGGCTTAAGACTCAAGTAAAATGTCTTTTTGACTGAGACCGTTTAGCAGCAGTTTCTGATAGTCATAAAACTTAGGACCATTTGCCTGCCAAGTAAGGAGACTATAAAAAACCCGGTCTGTTGTGATGGGATGATGGTGATAAAAACTTCGCAGAAAACCGGCGTGAAAAAATCACAGCATTGTGTTTTGCCGTGTGAGTAAGGTTACTGGGGCTCAATCCTGCCCCTCCCCCAATCCTCCCTTAAAAGGTCGGCAACGCACTCTCAACTCTACCGTTGTTGCAGGTGTACATGGGCGGCGCTGATTGCTTACCATCAGGTAATCCGTCGGCATGTTTGCCGTCCTATCACATAAAAAAGACGTAATCATCTATCACCATCGATTTTTTTTTAAAAACACTATAATCCCGTGTTTATTTCTAATTTTATACAAACACCTCTTTATAAACATCTTTTTTAAATAACCTCAAATATAATAAGCTATTCGCCCGATAGAAAAATACCTTATCTGATTACTTTCCAGCCAGTTTCTACTTAGTACATAAAATATGATACTATGAATTAATCTGCTTTCAAAACTATGTTTTAGCGCAATATTGCAACTCTGGGTGTTTCAATTATTATCAATATGTACTCATTTTTATACCATCCAATTATCACTGTTTGAATTATTTTGAGAGTTAGTATGATAAAAGACTTGTTTCCGGTTTAATGAAACTCCATAACAGCCTGTAAGTATGTAGTATTAAATGAAGGTTCATCTCATTCACAAGAATTAAACCAAAATCCATATTATCATTTATAAACATTCAAACTGTAGTTTCTAGATTTTTTTCGCTTTTTTTTAATCTTGCTACCCAGAATGAGGCGACAAAATCAAGTTATTTCAACAGTCCTGCATATTAAAAAATAGGCATATTAAAACACCAAATGAGTCAAGCTAACAATATAAATATTAGACAAAAAATGAGATAAAACTTATAACACCCATATAACATTGGATATCTGATATGTTTATCCCAGTATGTGACAAATAATATAGATTATACTATAGGTCAGAGAGAGCAGTCAATGACCCAATGTCCAAACAGACAATGTCAAAGAACAGGTTCATTCCCAGCATGGCATTTGATATAAACACAAGCATTTATGAACTTAATAACAATTGAAACTAAGTTGTGCTAGGAATTCGATTATATAAAGTAAAATAGAGATTTTTATGAATAATAAAAATAAGGTAGAAAATCGAAAATAATTTTTTTATTACTTAATATTTTATACAGTATTTGGCCCTTTTTTCTGTTTAGAAAATAGCATTCTAATTATTGCATAGGAAAAATATTTCATGATATTTCATGATTTAAAAGGAAATAAGAAAAACTAGAAAAAATCTAAAAACCACCAACTTAAACTTGTAACAATAATAAAAGAAGTTCTAACTAGCTTCATCTGACAATGGTGAATCTAAAATGCTAGTGTACACAATTGAATAGCCTACATTTATATTTTTATGTTGATGTAACATAATATCTTATTATTTTTAAGGCATGCAGTATAGAAGACATATGAAAGTACACTCATTTTTTATTTTCTTTGTTTTTTACTCACTTTTGGACTCCCTAAAACTATATTTGTGTATTTTTTTTGTTTCTAACTATCAAATCCTTCTAATGCCTTCAAGAAATAAGTATGCTATTGACCTGAAGACATTATGATGTCTTAATGATTATGATCTTGCGATTCTTATACAAAAATCATAGAAAAGTATCGTTTTTGACATTTAAATCAAAGAATTGAATTTTATTTGTTGAAAACTACTACTACCACTTAGTCTATTAAAATGTTATTTGAAATCTAGGAAATATCAAGTACATCTGATCAATTCAGAACAGTCTATTGTCATATTTTCATCATTCATATTATGCTACAAAATCTTTTAATGTCAACAATTATAAAATATTATGCAACAAATTAACTCCAAGTGTTTCTTATAGCTTTGTTCTAACAAAACCTTATTACCTTATTATCAGTTTATAATAACTTATAAAGTAAGTAGAATAGAAAAGAAACTGTTGAACCCTAAGTAATTTAGAACAGAGATAGGCTAGCCACCCCAAAAAATAACAATAAAAGATTGTTTGAGAATCATTCATATCAGTAGGCCATTTTTAGAATAAAAAAATATTAATGCAGAATATAACCAGGTATTACTTTGAAATTACTACTACTATAACTGTGTAGTGGTATTAATATTTAACTTTAATGAGAGAAAATTATTTGTGCATTTGAAGCACCACCTTCTGCCTACAGATGTATGCAAATGCAGCAAAATGGCAATTAATTTGCACACCTATTGTCTTAGTATTGCATCTCAAATTACCACAACTATAACAGGTTAAAAACATACAACATTTGCAAACAAACACCATCTTCAGGATATTTCAACTCATCACCATAATTATATCACAAGGTGCAAAGTCATCTACATCAAAATCAAAGTAAAACTAGATGTTTCTCCTCTAGTATTATCCTACATATCCTTTAGTATAAGTAGAACATAAAATATGACATTATTTATACATTAGTAGGTAAGTATGAAAGTACAAAAAGAAGCAGGCAATATTTTTTTAAATAATTCAAGAAGTAAGTATGGTACTGAAAAGTATTTCATATACTTATTACAGTAAAATTATATTTTAGACCTAATAGTCAAAAGACAAGATTTTTTTGGTAAATAAATGAGGATCAACACAATTTACTTACTATTAGACAATTAAATTAAATCTTATTATGATTGTGTTTCACTTAGTTAATTAGGTTTTAATGTTTTTCTAAAAAAATGGTACAGACCATTCTGCTGGTAGACTAAAATACATGAGTCAGCATTATTTGTTTTGAGAAGCTGTTACAAACAATTTCTTTTACCTACAATTTTGAAAACTAGATTTTGGGACAAAGAAAAACCAAATGCTGGCTTAGTCTTTGTTTTGGAAATAGTGTCTTCAACTATTTGATCCATTAGGATTCATTCTTCAGAATTAATAACATTGTGTCAGGTAATGCTGTCCTTATTCATTAAAGAGAAACACAAGATGCTAATAAGGATACTATAAGAAAACTAGAAATAAAAAATTAAAATAGTATTTTTATATAAAACGTCAAAATACAAATTTTTGACCAACTGCGATATTCGTCTGATAAGAATATGTGATCGACGAAAGCAGCTACATGAGAATCGGACATAACGCAAGTATTTAACATGCCACCACTTAAACATAGCACACTAAAGCAGCCATTATAAAAATGCTTTTATTAAACGTATCAATACATACTATTGTCTGCAAGATTTTCGTAAATATTTACATTATTTTGTTCGCACAGAACAATGGAAAATGCGCAGATTTGCGCAACCACTAAAAGACCGACCCAACCTCAAAACAAAAGTTACAGTTTCCCACAATAAAAATCTAATCAACCTCACGATGCACTGCAACTCAAGTGTACTGCAACAGCCACAACAAAAGAAAAGATTCATTACATTACCTTCACTTTCTCAAAATGTGTTAAATCATGCAACTGTCACAGGCACTGCTAAGAAGCGCACAATAACACTCCAACAATTCAAAATTCTACAATTCTCACAGTTCACAGTTGCACTTTCATCACAAAATTTTCACTGTAGACAAAATTTCATGACCATTGGCCCTAATCCAAGCAAACCACGAAAATTTTTGACATTTCCATCACAGTCCGATGAATAAACACATCGGTTGATTTACGAAACAGAGACGATTGTCGAATGTCATGAATTAATGACTATTACAAATACATCTCATTAATTAGCTGCAGTTGAATAGAAAATACGATTGAGCCTTTTTTCTAAACAATAAAAATAAAATTATGCGAAACTATCGACGGATGCCCGAACGACCGACATCCGATTGCGCTAGTGACGCGAACAATGACCATAGGGCTGGGGGCTGGCTGATACTAATCGTATCCAGATATAAAATCCGATATTGGAACGGCATCTGCAAGTCGGTATCGGCGTATATCGAAAACGTATATTTTATATTTATGAAATTTTGATATTTAAATGTATCGGTTGAACATATGTAATATCTGCAAATCACTGGCACGTTTCGATATTATGTTATAGGCTTTCGAATCCGATACATTTGAACTAAAAGAACGAATGAATCAGCTTTCAGCTAGTCGGCGGTAGTTTAAAGTACCTGACGGATTTTTATAACTACAGAGTAATAAAATTGGGCATAATAAATAACAATATTTGCAGTACTAGTATCTACTTACCAAGTAAATAAATAAATATTTGATTACGAAACAGGTACAAGTCAATTTCTTATAGATGGTAAGCAATCGGCGGCGCCTATAGCCGCAACACCAAAGATTTTGGTTTGTGGGTAGTTGGGTTTTTTAGGATTGGGGATTTATGGATAAAGAACCTAGCATACATACAGCGAAATATAACGTAAGCGTTGGTTCACAGTGGTATCCTGTGAGGCGTGGAAGGAATTTAGTTTTGGATTTTTATTAATCTTCTTTTATTTTACTACTGGCAACGACTAAATAAAGCAGATATCTAAAATATAATATGACGTAGCCCGCGAAATTTAAATATTTTTTTGCGGTTCTAAAGCCGACGTTCCAAAGTTTTATCCTCATACGAATTTTTTCAATGAAGTAATTCATTAAGGTTACCAATATCTTTTAAAACCGAGCCACCCAGTCAACCAACACGTAGTTTACGCTGTATTCCATTCTATAATAATAATTTGTTGGTATGTATATTCCATGTTTTGATAAATTCACATGTGAGAAAAATTTGAAAACAAATTAACGAAAACATTTTAATTACTATTTAAAATATTTAACAGAAATAAACATTTTAACAAACTACAAATAAAATTAATTAAATCAAGACAATAACTTATTAAATTATCCACCTTCAGTTTTTGGGGTAGAGAAACCTAAAGGTGGATATTTATTTAACATATCAGCCATTGATGATGGATAAAAAGCCATAAACTTGAATCTTTCGCCCATTTTCGCTGGTTCTACAAGCATTTCATAAGACATTTTTATTTTCTCCCTATCTTCTTCAGATTTTGCGTTATCCATAAGAACCTAAAACCAATTAAAATAATTATTACATAATAGCAAAAGGCTAAAATATATATAATGGGTAAGTCGTTGTGATTATTATCTATGACTTTCTCACCTTCAGTCTGACTTGAGCTTGACATCTCTCAAGGAAGTCTTTCTGTTTGACGGGTCCCATCACTAAAGCATAATTCTCAGTTGATGGAGTCTTTGAAGCGGCAACCCTTAATTGAGAGAAATCCACATCTGCTGTTAAGTCACATTTGCCAGGATTTTCTAAAGGATTCACCACTTTATGCTTGTGAAAAGCCTGTAAATACAACATTTTGGTTTTAAAGTATGTGTATGATATTTAGAGACTATTGTAAGAAAAATATGCTTATTTCCTACCCTAAAAGTATCACCCTTTTCTCCTTCATGTCCATAATCAGCAATGAGAGCTATTCCTCCATATTTGTCTACCCTTGTGGCCAACTGCCTGGCAATGCCAAGACTCCGGGCACTAATTTCTAGCTCTGTTCTGTCTCCAGAATCTAAAGGAGGTCTAATTAAAGACTTGCATGAGACAGTTTCTTCTGCTGTTATTCTGTAGTAAAGTTTCTCCTGCCCATCGAGATCTATTAAGAGTTCTCGCCATCCATCATTTGTTTTCTATAAACAGATAATATTTAAACCAAATTAGTATCTAATAGATTTATAATAAGAAGTATAATTTTTATTGTGAGAATTCATTAATTTCTTACTTCAAATTTATGTATCGGCATAACATCAAAGAACTCATGAGCAATGTACCAAGAAAAGTTGTTGGGTACTTTCTTAAGGTCATTGTACCAGTATACTTTGATACCACTGAGAGTTTCACCCTGAAAACAAAAGGAAAAGTATCATAAGAACCAAGTATTATTTTACTTGTACCATTTCCATTTAAAATTTTGCACTACTCACTTCATAGTTATGTTGATTTTCAATGCTAACTTCTCTGTGTGATACACATAATTTGTTTGCTTGTATCATCTGCATAGTTGAAGATATTTCCACAAGATGAAGACTCAAGTCCTGAGCTTTGTATCCAAGACGGTTGAGTACCTAAAACAGTATCATCAATTATATAAAAAGATTTTCTGAAAAAAAAATCTACAAATTAGAACGCGTAGCGTAGAACAAAAAAGTTTGTGTTATTTTCTTGCTTACCCTTAAAATATCCAATAGTAAGGTCGCATTGCCTGGCCCTAGTTCAACGATTTGAAGCGGCTTACCAGGACCCATTTTTTGAGTTTCAGAAAAGAACCATATCCCTAAAATCTCACCAAATAGTTGACTTATTTCTGGCGACGTTATAAAATCACCACCTTGGCCAATAACCTCTTTTTTCATGTAATATCCTTCGGTAGGGTTTGTAGTAATAATATGCATGTATTCAGCTACAGTAATCGGTCCATTTAACCTAATTTTTTCTTTTATTATATCCATTATGCTCGGAGCGGTGCCCGGGGCAGGCATTTTCAAAGTTTTTGGATCCGGACGTTTGACAATTTTAAAACTGTTACCTCTGGTTATTGTTTGTTGTATCAATAGCTTATTACACATATTAAAAATGTGTCGCGAATTCATTTTGCAGAATATAATACCAAATAAATATTTACGTACTAAAATGAAGAGGTTATTTGTTTTGACAATAAAAGTCTACTGTCAAACCCAAACCAAAGACACCAAAGACTACAGACTATTGAATTGCCAAAAGTGACATGAATATATTCTGTCAAAAGTAATTGTCAAATTCAGAGTTGCAGACATTTGATTTTGCATATTTCTCAAAATGCGATAAAATTGTGCAAGCAAAGCAAGTGTGTGATAAGTAAATAAGAATTAAGTTTTAAAGGACAATAAAGTTTTGTAATTCTAGAGAATCCGAATATAGTGCGACTATAAGACTTCTTAACATTGACTTTAATAGGTACCAGAAAAAGTAATCGAGAAGGTTATGTTTTGATACACCACGTGAAGTTTTACCGATTTAATATTTTAGTTTTAAGTCAATTATTGCTTAATAGTTACGATTATATACAATAAGTATGGGGCAAATGGATGACGAGTTTTATTCTGGCGTTAACGACGTCAGAGGTAGCAAAGAACCAGCAGAACGCAATGGCCGCATTATTGTTCGGAATATTTCCTTCAAAGCGACGAAGGAAGCGTTAAAGGAGCACTTTTCAAAATATGGTACAGTGCAAGAAGTGAATTTGCTGAAGAAACCTGATGGAAAGTTGGTTGGATGTGGGTTTGTACACTTTGCTGATGTTGCACAAGCTGAGAAAGCTATTGCTGCTACAAACAGGAAACCATTCCTGGGTAAGTAGTAGTTCTGGCTTGTTATACCTTATTACAGGATTTCTGGTTAGACTTTCCTTTATGGACCGTCGATTTTGGGGTCAAAATGGGGGGAGGGGGGAGGGGGAGGGAGAGGACTACCCCCCAGGCCCATCCCCACCCCGCGGAGCCCTATGGTTACGGAGATATCCATGGTCAAAGTTTGTTAAAATTTTGAGGTTAGGAAAGATTTTTCGGATAGTTTATATGTATGTATGTATAACTTTAGAATCGTACCGCAGTGGGGAGGATGCCCCCTTCCCCCAGTACCACTCCCATGACAAGGCAACTCACAGTTGCCGAGAAACACGATTTTTTATAACCTTACCTCAAAACACAAAAAGTCACTTAATAGGCAAAGTCGACGCGGGCTCCTACTTCTGGGTGGTTTGCAACATGCAGCAGGCATGGCTTCTGTCACGGCTCCGGCGCTGCGGGGCTCCGGCGGTCCCACGCGAGCTAATCGTCGCAGATGGTTTTACGCCCATCACCGCGGCTTCGGCTTGCTGGCCGGCTTCGCCGGCCAGCCTCAGCCACGGCGATGTGCGTTATAACCACCTGCTCCTCAGCTCGCGGGCCGCCCCGCCCCTCCGCGCCTTCGCGAATTTAAAAAACACTCTCGGGGTAGGGCAGAAAAGAGACCACATAAAGTCGGTTTCGCAGCAATTCATTTCTGTCACTAACTTTTGTAGCACATTAAAAACATTATGCCAAAAGACAATGTATTAATTATTTCAATTTAACCTATATTCAATAGGAATACTCCAAAAAAAAAAAAAAAGAAGTCAATAACACGCGAAACGTCAAATTAGGCGTGAATTTTTCAATAGACTTTACAATTTTTAAATAATTATATCTCGTAAACCGTGAGTTTCCGCAACATAAAAATTTGTAAAAAGCCTTCTGTTAATGTGTACTATCTACAAAAAAAAAATGAACGCTCAACTCAACGGTCCATAAAGGAAAGTCTAGCCCTTATAATAAAAGCACTTAATTGTAATTACAATTGTATTGTTTGCTGTAGATATTAATTGTTCTGTGTTAAATGTACTATGAGGAAATTTCTCCTATACTGGAGATTATATTTTTTGATGTCCTTACTAATTTAAATTATGTTTTTCTTCCAGAGCGCCCAATACATGTAGCTTTTGCAGTGTCCAAAAAAGCGTATGTGCAGAATATGGAGAATAACCCTGCCAGACAGAAGTTCAACAACAGCTCTGAAGATGATGGCAAACTATTCAGTAGTAAGTCTATGGTTTAATTATGACTAACAAAAAACCCAAATACAAATTTTTATCTTATTTTTTTTCCATCTAATATGCAGACTTCAAATATATATTTTATTATGCTAACTTAAATATTTTATCAGCTATATAGGGCATTATTGTAAAGAGAAGGCTGTAGATAAGGAGGAGGTGTTGATGATGATAAATTAATTAACATTATTTATTATTTCAGAAGAAGAAGGAGACAAGTCTACAGAGGAAAAGCAAAAGAAAGAGAGAATCAACCGTAATGCTCGGCTTGTAGTCCGAAATGTATCCTTCAAGGCGACTGAAGAAACATTGAAAGAGCATTTTGCACCTTATGGCGATATACTAGAGGTCAAATTACTCAAAAAACCAGATGGAAAATTAGTAGGATGTGCATTTGTTCATTTCAAAAATGTACCGATGGCCAAGAAGGCTTTGTTAAACACAAACATGAAACCTTTTCTGGGTAAGAGTGACCAAAAATTTTTTTTTTTTTTGAACAAGTGTACTTGGCTTATGTGTACATAAGCCTATATTGTTTAATAGGTTATTGGTATTATAGACTATAGAACGGGGATTGTAGAATAAATTAACACTTAATCATCTACATTTTCGAAAAAGGATTTTCTAAGGCTTCACTGCAATAAATACTTTTTAAAAGAAAAATAAAAAAAGAGATAAACCGGCAACTAAATAAGACTGACTGTTTCAATGGTGCCTAATATAAGGATTTATTTAAACTAATTCTTTGCATTTACAATGCACTGAATCAATATTACCATTTTTGCTATTAGTATGCAAGGATCTTTTAATGTTTTTTTAATGGAAGTCAGTTAATTTAGACCCAATATTAGTTAACTCTATTTTTATGCGTATTTTGAAATGAAAAAAAAATTGAGTAATTTTTTATCAACATATGATTACGTTTTTCTTTTCTTCAGGACGTCCCATATCTGTGGATTGGGCGGTGGCCAAGAACAAGTACATGCAGCATGTGGTGAGCCAACAGCTGGAGATGGAAGAAAAGGTGAAGAAAGAAGAATCTGACAGTGATGATGATGATGACAAACCACCGCTGAATGTCACAGCTGATGACATTAAGGATGAGATCAAGAGTGAAAGTGAGTGAAAATTTATTTCGTTTACAGATTACTTATTACCTAAAGGTATATAATTTTTATAAGCTCTTACACTTGCTCTTACTCTTGCTCGGTTTCACCCACTGCTCGGCTTCATTCAATCGTAATGTGTGATGTTTTATAGCCCATAGCCCTTTAATAGCCTTCCTCGATAAATGAACTAACACACAAAAAATTATCTATTCGAGCCAGTGATTCAAACAAACAAAAGAATTCTATAGTTTTATTAGTATAAGCGGCAGGGTGATTCTCCAAAAAACCTTAACTTTTATTTAACAAGTCATTATCCTCCCAGGTTTTTAAGCATCTTAGTAATTTATTTTATACAATATTTTTAATCGGTTGCTTGTAAGCAGTGGTGAGATTTAATTTAATAAAATAATTATGTGTTTTAATCAGCAGACTCGTTAATTTTCGGTTGAGGATAATGACATTATTACATTTTTCTTAATTGATGTGAAGAATCACCCGGCACCCCCTTGATATGGTAGTTTCTAACAACATAGCCAAATGAATACTACTTTTCTTTGAAGATTTTTATGAAATACTATTTTTATTACTGAAAAATTGGCTAGTAAATTTTAAAATTAAATTAAATAATTAATATCGTCGAATCAATGAAAGAAAGTACCTATAATGACAATATTTAAATAGTTATTTGCATTGAAACTTTTTTTGTTTTTTCAAAACTTTTTTTTTGATCTGCTTTTGTAGACAACTCTAAGCACATTTTCTTCCATTTAAGGTGAATCAGAAAAGAATTCTGATGAGGAAGGCGATTCTGATAGTGATGATGATGATGATAAAACTGACGTTAAGGGTGAGTCTGATGATGATGATGATGATGACAGTGATGAACAGGACGACGATGACGAAGAAGAAGAGGATGATGAAGAAGAAGGCGAGGATGATGAAGGATCTCAAGCTGGGGAGAAACAGGAACACCAAAGGTTAGTTGGTGATGGCTAGTTTCCAGAATTAAAATTTAAGATATTTCAAACTGCAACCGCTTTCGTGTCCATAGATAACGTCGATTTATTAGCATTATAATTATTGTGATCCATCTGTTCGTCCAGAAGTAAGGCATGAGTTTTAATTACGATGCGATTTTTTATATTGACATTGTTAGTTCGGGCTACCCTAGGAGGTAACTTTGATCCAAACTTGACTGCACGGTTCGCGCGCTTGCTGGGCGATTGGCTGCACGCGTAACGTGTAACGGGTTATTTTCTCGCATGGAACAATTATTGTTCTTTCGGGTCTGAGTGGGATGTATATGTATGTAACTGCAGCCATGACACCGGAGAAAAAGCTAGTGCACAATTTTATTTTTTTAATAATTAAACTTTTTTGATTTTATAGGATAAAGTTAAACGATGCTGAAGACGGATGCACGGTGTTTATAACGAATATTCCGTTCAGCGTTGACGATTATCAGCTGAGACAGTTCGCTGAGAAAATTGGTCCTGTGAAGTACGCCCTCGTTTGTGTCGACAAAATGACTGAACATTCTAAAGGAAGCGGATTCGTCAAGTTTGCTGTAAGTTTTTATATTATTACTAGAGTTACTACATTTTCACCCGCTGCTCGGCTTCATTTGATCGTAGCGTGATGTTTTACAGCCTCAGGGACATTGTAGCTATTTATCAGTTACATTTATTTTGGCAATCCGACCAGCGGTTCCAAAGATTACCTCCTACATACAAACTTACAAATTTTACCTCTTTATAATATTATTATAGATAATTAAGTTACAAGAAAGCATCGTTTATATATCTTTACAGGATAAAGAGCACGCGGACGCCTTCCTAGCGTTATCAGGGGATCAGTTGAAGTTGGAAGGTCAAACATTATCAGTGAAGCCAGCACTCAAGAGGGAAAACCTACAGAAGGGCAATAAGAAGGAAGCCAAAGACAATAGGAACCTGTATCTCGTTAAGGAAGGAGGTAGGTTGATCTGTGATTTTGGATTCAGTAAAATTCTATGACAAAAAGTCAGAAGTCAAAAGTCAAAATCAATTTTTTTTTATGGGATAACTGGGCAAACGACTACGCGGATTACCTGATTGTAAGCAATCGACGCCGCTCATGGACACCCGCAGCCACAAAGGAGTTGCCTAGTTGAATAAAATAATACTTAAATAAAAACCATTTTAAAATGTTTCGTAATAGCGGGAAACTTAATCAGTTTTCATATGCGCGCGCAATTGTTTTTATTGTTTTTCGTGAATGGCAGTTTAGCGCAAGTGTAAGCGTAACCCAATGAATAATATTAAAAAAAAAAAACTATTACTCAGTAGTGAATAATAGTAATGAAAAAGTCACAGTTTGATTAAAGAGCCACTGTATGAGAAAAAGTGTTGAAAATATATTAATAATTATTTTCGTTTTCAGTGGTTGTTGCCGGTACGAAGGCGGCAGTGGGCGTGTCAGCCTCCGACATGGCCAAGCGGCTGGCTCTAGAGCGGAGCAAGACACAAATGTTGAAGAATCTTAACAGGTATGTTATTATGTATTACTCTTCAAGGCCTAAATGAATAGGTTGCTTATGGGAAGGCGTGCTTCATCGTACGTCGAATCATCGCTCACCAAAATCTACCACCTGTATAGCATCATCATCATCAGATTTTGTCCACTGCTGGACATAGGCCTCACCAATTGGGTAGTTTCTTAGGTCAAAAATACATGAATTCGACGTAAATAGTTATATTTTATTGTATTGAAAATACAATATGGTTATGGTATATACCATATTCAAAAAATTTCATCGAAGTCCGTTGCGAAGTTGTAAAGATTTAAGCATACATTAGGATATAGGGACAGAGAAAGCGACTTTGTTTTATACTATGTGTTGTAACATCTCTAATTCGTCATACTAATTATTGTAACACTAGAACTGGCAATGTCATCCTTTAATAAATATAAATAAGGCGGCCAAGAGAGTGTCGGCCATTGACAATGTAACTCTGGTGCAGTGAGCTAAGACAGGTGACTTCTTTCATCGCCGAGGTGCTTTTGAGACCTCTCAAACATGATTTTAATAGTATGTACGTTTGTAACAGGTTCGTATCCCGGTACCGGTTGGTAGTGTCGAACCTGCCGGCGCAGTACGACGACGCCAAGCTGCGCAAGCTGTGCGTCGGCGCGGGCGACCGACGCGCCGTCGTCACCGAGTGCCGCGTCATGAGGGACCTGCGCACCCCGCCCGGACCCGACGGCAAGAACCCGTATGTATATTATATTTTAACACACTTCCTCATATAATGGCTCTTATCTCACATCAATTAGGCACGTTACGACACCTATAATCAAACTGTAACTTTCATTACTATTATTCACAAGTGAGTAATAGAGTTCTTTTTAAAATAATTGGTTGAGTTACACTTGTTTTGTTACTAAAAAAAACATCATTTGTTAATCTTTAGCCGATGTGCGCGCATAAGAAAACTGATTATTTTTTCCCGCTATTACGAAAAAATTTTCACGCCGGTTGTTGTCTGTAAGGCCGAAGAATGCCTCTCACACACTTAACATGTTTTCTGAAACAGTTATAAGTACATAATTATATTTTGATTATTGCAGGTCGAAAGGCTACGGCTTCGTAATGTTCACAAGACACGAAGACGCTCTCGCCTGTCTGCGGAAACTGAACAACAATCCCGATGTATTTGATAAAAATAATGTGAGTATATCAATAGTATAAGGATACACTACTCAAATATTAGTATTTGTTATCATATTTTAAACTTACATGTCTAAGTTTTTATTACACTTTAAATTTTATTGCCCTGTAATAATGTCGAAAATCTATTGAGACTTTTTCTCTTGTACTTACTTACATTTTAATTTTCACATCAAAATTAAAAAATGTTTTTTTTTTCTTCAGAGGCCTATCGTCTCCTTCTCGATAGAAGATAGAACAGCGTTAAATGCAAGAAAGAAAAGATTAGAGAAATCCATAGCCAATAACCCGCTAGCAAACAAAGATGGCGGTCAAACCACAGACAAGAGAAACAGGAAACGGAAACCAGAAACGTCACCAGACGAAAGTTACGCTAAGAGACGGAAGTTTGGGAAACTAAATAAGTTTAATAAAAATACTAATCAAGGTGATGATAATAGAAATCAGCAATATTCCCAAAATCAAGGTTCTAACAATTTTAATGGAAATTATAAAAATGAAAGGCAGAATAGGTTCAATAAGAAGGGACCCCGACAAAATGATGGGCCGGGTCAGTTTGTGAAGAAACCAGGAAATAATGACTACGGTGAATATACAGGGCTCACAGCTAAGGAAGGATCCCAACACAAAATGCGAAGCAACCATAAATTAAAAGCTCAGGCAGAAATCCATAGACAAACAGTGAAAACAGAGAAGAAGAAGAGTAAGAGAGCTCTAAGACTCAAGATGGCGGCTAAAGAAAGAATAAAGTTGCCCAAACAGAAGATTAATAAGAATCCTAATAAAAAGAGGAAGAAGCATTTCAATCAATCCAAGTTTGACAGATTTTTGTAAGAGTTTTTAAAATAATTTACATAAATCTATAAAGTTAGACAACTTGGAATGAGATAAATAGAGATTCAAATCGATTCAATCCTGTACTTTGCTAAGAAATTAAATGCGTAATATTATGATTGTACAGCTTACTCGTGTAGCTGTGAAGTGGTTACTCGATATATAATAACTAACTACATTCTTCGTATTTTGGGAGCGGAAAATCATCCAACAATTTCCCGCACCCTTTGTTTTGTGAGAGGAAGATCATCAAATGACTTCTCCCGCCCAGGGTCGGGCGGGAGGGAGTGTCAGACTCTTACTGACTAAAAACCGTCAGACTACTTCTGCTCTAGGCCGAGGTCGCGGTGCCTCATTGCGCTTACCCCGCAACTCCGGCTGAAAATTTTTCGCACCCTAGGTGGAGCAAGAGGGAGTGTCAGACACTTACCGACTAAAAACCAACACGTTCCTTCTCCTGCTCCGAGACAGGCCGCAGTACTTCATAGCGGTATGGCTATTATACCGGCTGGTCCCTAGCCAATACTGTTTATATTTATGGATCCCCGTCAAAACTTGAAACTAGTTGAGATACTTCTTCGAACAGTTACGCGTCTAAACAAACGTCAGTAACCATAGATCAGTCTAGTTATCATTATGAAAATTCTTCCACCATTATAATATTTTCTTTCTGTAGTCCGGTCTCTATCGATCTCTTTTGTAAGTATGTGAATACATGACATACACGATTTTAATATGTTACTGTTGTAAATAAATTGTTAAGCATATATGTTTTTATTTTAATCTTCACTATTTTGACGTATTTTGATTTCTGGATAGGTAGTGGTGCATACAATAGCCATATTGTACCAGTAATAAAGTAAGTTATGAATCCCATGTAATAGATTTAGTCTATCCCCATATCCTCAAGTGTGGGAGAGCCATGCTTCGGCACGAATGGGCAGGCACGACCGGAGTGATACCACGGCCTCACAGAAAACGGCGTGAAACAACACTTACGTTGTGTTTCAACGTGTAAGTGAGGTTAAGGCCAATGCTTCCCCCCTCCCCCCATCCTCAATCCTTAAATCCCTAATAATCGTCAAGGGGTCGGCAACACACTTGTAGTAACTCCTTTAGTATTACTAGTGTCAATGGGAGGCGCCGATTGCTACCAGGTAATCCGTGTGCTCGCTTGCCGACCTATGACAAAAAATCCTATGCAAGCACAGTTCCAAAGTATGTTATATTTCTTCCATATAATAATAGATAAATTCCGAGTTGCCACCGGGCGGTGACTGGGGGTTCATTTCCCCTACTTCAGTTTCGCTGTATATTGCTTTTTCCATCATAGAGAATTATGAGGTTACTAATGCTAAATCTTTTTTGTTATAACTTTCGTGAGACATTCTAAATTAATTATTTTGCTACTGTAGCAGCGCGACAGTCGCCGCGTCGGGTGTCGCTGCTCATGAATATGGGCCTAGAGGCCCATATTCATGAGCAGCTGCAGCATGCTAGAGCATGGCTTGAAACTAGTCGAGTATCTCGTCAAATTATTACGCGAGTAAGCCGAAAACATAATAATTAATGCTAAACCTGCCTCTTGTTGAGTCTCCATCTTCAAAGTCTACGGAACTTTTTTATTTTTTTACTAGCAACTCTCACGCGGTTTCGCCCGCTGCTCGGCTCCATTTACTTGTAGCGTGATGTTTTATAGCCTAAGCTCAGGAACATTGTAGCTATCTATCAGTGAAAGAATTTTGGAAATCCGACCAGCGGTTCCAAAGTTTACCCCCTACATAGAAACTTAAAATTTTTACCAAATTTTATTTTATAATATTAGTATAGATAAACTAACATTAGAGTTTTGTCCTGTGTCGTGAGAGCGTTTACCACTGCGTCATCCGTGCAGCCAATTTTGGCTTCTATGCCAGGCTCAGTTTTTAAATAATTCTTTCTTGTTTAAATCTCCTGTCGGTAAGCAGTGATGGTAAGGCGCATTAGTTTATTAAGAGCCTATTCTCTCTAGCCTTGAAGACACCTAAATCATAACTGGACGGGTAGATCTTTGCACTTTGCAGGCTAGCTATTCTACTATTCCAATCCTTAGATATAGGTACGTGGTATAAATGACAAACCGAAACGCTTAGAGCGGATGGTAGTAGTCTCAACAATATAAGGACGTACATTCGCTGTACGATTATCCGATGGTAGAAAAGTGATGGGGGAATCAACTTGTGTACTATCTAAAAAATATTCTGTAGAAAACCGAGAGGCTGGCTACCCTACGTCTGTGTATAGTATCTGACCTCTAGGCCAGCCTCAAGGCTGTGCCCGCCACATCCTCTTAAAACCATTGAAATTTATGTAAGCCAGGATCTACAGTTGATAAAAAAATACCGAAACGTCCGGCGCGTCCCAGGGACATGAACAACTGTTTAGAATGTGCTACGAAATTAATTCGAAAATATTACTAAGCAGAAGATATAGCACCTACTGAGTAAGGTTTTTTTGAGGTACAACTTGACCTTCTAAATAAAAATATTTAATTTGGCCCTCTTTTCCCAAGTTAAGATTAACTTGGGAAAACTCCATCCCCAATCAAAAGAAATAGCTTAGTAAGGGGCGTGAAAATTTGTTAAATATAAATAATAATAATAAAACAAATATGTAAGTACCAATTTTTATTTATAGTCGTATAAAACTTCTAAAAAATATTATTTAACAAAATGAGTGTTTACCTAAATGTACTTAACATTATTAATAATGATTATGCATATAACATTATTAAACAGAGAACAAAGATGACTGATATTTTGGCTTTCGGCACAGCTTAATTCTAAATATGTATGAACTTAGGTGTATTATATTATAGTATTAAAAATACTCCTTAATTATATGGCCAGCAGGTAATTTTTCATTGGGTTTATGACTATAAACACATATTGTGATATAAGTAAATCAAAATAATTAATTAAAATATGGTAAATAAATTTGATAGAGTAGGTAGCGATGCTGTCCTTTGTACTATTTATAGCTCGTATTAAAAATTAAGAATAACTTTTGGTATTTTGGCAAATAGCCCTGTAGTTAATACTACATACATACAGCTTCACTAAAATAATAAAATTTGTATTAACAACATAAAACTTACAACTATTAAACAAAATATTATGTAAGACTTATCACACCTATACCTAATACAAAATGCGAAGTTATTATATTATATGTATATACTACATATTTATCAGATCATTGATACTTAGTGAGGGTTTGCGGCACTAGAGGCGCTAGTGTCGCTTAAGGACTATAGATTGACATCTGATTATTGATAGGTGATAGTTGCTAATTACAAGTAATTAGTTAATCAATAATAATATTATAACAATTAAGTTTATCATACAAAATAACGTATAAATTCTATTTGAATCCAAACATTCTGAATCGATCCACTGTTTGATAGAAACACCTTAGGACTACTATAGTTATTGACATTTCTGCAGACGTTTCACTGCCGAGGATTTAGGGTAGTCTTTGACAAGTAACAATCGCTCCTTCGATAGTTCGGAGATGTTGCTTCGAAGCACTATAGTCTATGACTTGTCTTTGAGCAAGCCACACTGTCTCATGTGTGAGTACAGGGCCTGCTTATACTCCTCAGGGTGGTGGATGTAGTGGAGTACGTGTGGTGATTTGTCCCAGCATTTGAAGTTACACTGCGGATAGAAAAAATACCATAATACATATGTTTTATAATTCTCTCTTGGGAGAACTATGCTTCTTCACGAATGGGCCGGTACGACCAGCGACCTAACTAATGTCCCTCGTTCAAAATACCACCCAGTATAAGCTTTCTAATCACAGTATAAATATTACGAAAAAAAAATCGTGTCTGAGTTCGAAAGACTGAGCTGACTGAAGATGTTCAGCAACTTAAAGTTTGCTTTCTCATCAAAAGCTAGGTACTATAGTCAGAATTTTAATTTGATTTCAGATTTGACATTGACCACTGTCATTTTGTGAAATAATGATACCACATATAACAGTGTAGTGATGAAAACAAAAATCAATAAACTATTAGTGAATCAGTCACAGGAAGGCATTCAAAAAATTACAGCAACCGAATGGTCTAAATGCGTATCCCATGTTGTCAATTAAGAGGAAAAAAGAGTAAGCTAGATATGTTAATTATCAATAAATATCACAGACACAATTCATAATAAATGTTACAGAAAGTAACAGCGATAGCGATAGCGATGACGGCGATAATTTATAAAATAAATTATTACCATAATAGATCACATTTTTTATTAATTTCACACACAATTATAAAAGAAAAGTATCAGATAGTTAATTAATTGTCAAAACCAAATTATCGGTTCAGAAATATTTAATTTCCTGATAATTTAGTTTACGAGAGTAAATTTATAAACGAGAATAATCGATTCGGAAATATTCGATTTCCATATCGAATAATTTCGCAACGTCACTATTTAGTACTTGTCATAACGTTGCAACACTGAAATTGTCAAATCAGGAATCTAATTAAAAGTCCGATTATGATACAAAATGATAGGCAAAAACTAACTTAATTTAAAATGAACTGTAAAACATTTTTAGCAATAATTATTATTAGCCCGGTATTTCTCGTATCCGGATTTATTAAATCATTTATGCAACTTTGCATACACATTCTATTCTTTTTATGGCATAAGTCGGCAAAAGGGCAGACGGATTACCCAATGATGAGCAATCGGCGCCGCCCATGGATTGGGAAGGGATGGGGTGGGGGGAGGGATTGGGCCTCCGATGTCATGGTATTCGGATATTTAAGGATTGGAAAGGGATGGGGTAGGGATAGGGATTGGGCATCCGATGTCATGGAATTTTAGGTACCTTGATGCCGCTCCTAACCCAGGAGTCGTGGACGCTTCGGCTCCTTTTCTCAGCTCCCACCAGGTCAGTCTTGGAGACGAGGAACAGGCCCGGCGCCCTGCAGGGAGTGTGATGGAACACATCCGTAGCCTTCATGTAATGTTTGGTCGCCACATTATGAAACACTTTCATGTGGGTTCTGGGAACAGAACAATATTTGGAACTTAAGTTTATAAACGAATTTCTTTGTGTCAATAAGGTACTGTTACAGTAGTATCAAATTGACAAACCAAGGCTAAGTAAATTGCTGAGCCAGCTTCCGTTGTTTACTTGGTTTTTAGCTAAGACTATTTATTACATCGGGCAGTGCGGTTTTTGCACTTTAAATGTGGACAATCTTATATAAAGATAATCTTTCTTATTTTCTTTGATTATTGTTTTTGAGAAGTCTTTAGCATACAACTAAATAACAGTACGATAAGATCTTTTTAAGTCAACGTTATCAACGCGATGATGTTGTCCTACTTCCTCCATAGTGGGTGCTTACAACACTTTGTTGATCACACAAAGCACAGTTCCGCGCGGAGATCGAACTCGCGACATGTGCCGTTGCCCAGACAACTGTGCTAACTGTGCAGTCCAGTTGCCACATGTATATTGAATATCTTGTTTTTCTTTTAAGTAGATTCGATACAGTTCTTTCGCACTTACGCGTATTGTTTGTTTAGAAAGTTAATACCACATTTTACCTACTAGCACTTACTTGATATAAGTCCTAAACAGTTCCTGCATAAACTTGTTCCGTGGGAACACGGCGCTGGGGAAGCCGACCGGTATCTCATGGATGTCTGCGCCGGAGTCAAACACCTGGCATGCCACGCGATCTAACACCGGTTGAAATCTAAAAGTATTAATTTTAAAATTTTATAAACGTTTTCGAGTCACGCTTGACTAGTTTCCAGACACACCGGGACTTATAAATTAGTTAAAAAAATCATAAAAAATATAAAATTTATATTTTGCAATTTGCTCGCTCCTAATGTATCAAGCTTGGCAAAAGTTGACATGGCATGATCAATTTGATATAACATCGATATTTTTATGGAAAAGGCACTGAGTTATTTTGTTGACCAACTAACATGGCGGAACAAAATGGGTGTTGTGTCCCGTCGGTTTTCTTGGAGTTGGGGCGCTAGGATCACGCTAGTCGGGCCGACCCTTTTTCTGATTTTTTTGCCAGTTTACAGAACAGGACAATATTCATGCGAGTAATTAAATACTCACCGTTTTTTATCATTGACTGCATGGACCAGCAGCTCCGCCCACACGTAGGCGCCGACTGAGAATCCATGCACCGTCAGTGGGTTCTGACTGTTCACCTCCATAAACCGAAGCAGTTTTTCCGTTAGTACCTGGATGTAAGACCAGAAGGCTTTTTAAAGTTTGAAAGAAGACTGATACATGATATTAACCGGCACAAACGATGGCCAGATTTTGTCGTAGTGGAGGTAACTTATTGTACGTTTTCTATATTTAACATCATCAGCCGGAAGACGTGAAGTGGTCATCAAAGCACCTCTCCCTAGTCCTACAAGTCGAACGACAACTCGCTACATGCATTCATGGACTCTTCGCAAATTTGACGATTGTCGATCTACCAACCTTTAGTTTTAAGGTCTGTGGTTGCCACTCGAGAATTTTCCGGTCCCATCAGTTGTCTGTATGTGGCCTGCCTATTGCTACTTTAGCCTGCAGATTTTACGAGCTACGTTGGTAATTTTAGTTCTTTGGCGAATTTCCTTCATACTTACGGATATTTTCGCGCAAAAGGTCTTTTTGCAAAGCTCAGGATTTATTAGTTATTTAAGAAATATTTAGAAATTACATAATGCGCGAACTTACCGCCACCCTGACAAAAGGTCATGGTTCGGAAAAATAACAGTCTTTCATTGCAGAGCTTATATCCTTCAGGATAATAACACATTATGACAACGGCATAACTGGTAATTCTGGTACATACTTGAGATCCAGTCGCGGGCCACATGAGCTGCCAAGGAGTACAGGTCACGGAAAGCACATCGAAGTCATGATCCAGGTACAGCTGCGCGTACTTCTGGACGTGGTTCGGCTTGGCCATCATCCAGTTCATGATTATACATAGTGGCTTGTCTATTTTCTCATTTAATCTGGAAATGCAAATAGCCTTTTTTATAACAAAGATTGTTCACCTAGCCACCATTACCTGTGTGGATATGGTAAATATACCTATAGTTCTTGTGTAGACGTTTCCTTGACGTCCTTCAAGTTGTGTGTAGGGATTTCGGTAGTAATTCGAATACGTCAGATTTTTTTTATGCGATAGGACGACGTACGATTATACGGATTACCTGATAGTAAGCAATCAGCGCCGCCCATGGATACTGCGGGCGTCCATGGGCGGCGCGTCGCGTTATGCGAGACTTGCGCACCCCGCCCGGAGACGATGGGAAGAACCCGTTTATTCTTTTATTAAGACTGTAGTGACTGTTACTGGCTTAAACGTTTACGTTTCTAGTTTCAGTTAGTTCCAAGTACTAAATCGATATAGCCCTTCTCAAGGTTAACCAAACTTGATTAATATATTTGAGTTTGTTTTTCCTTACAACTAGGTACTGCATAGCTTAGAATAGCAGTTTTAGTAATTAGCTCACTACCTTAACTTTCAGAATTTAAACTTGGTCGATTCTGAATAATGGTACATACTTGTTTAAAACTCACTTCATAGTTTTAGGATCAGCTTTTAATTTGACCTTGTCGTTGCTGATGTACACCATGTTCTCGTGGACTGTCTGCGTGTGCGCATTGCGGGCCAACCCCGCCATTGCCAGTGGAGTACATTGTAACGGCTGTATTGATTCCTGTAAAAATATGTTTTGTATGTATTACAATAATGTAAATTGGCTTTACTCGAACCTTTTAAAGTGAGATCCCCGTCTATAGTCAGCAAAGAATAAACATAAGGTTGGATATGAGATTGTGACTGGCAGTGATCGGACGTAAAGAGAAGAAACAAAACTCGAGATCAAGTGACCATCACTTTGCCAGAGGTAAGTTTTCGTTGAATCAGGGTCTAACCAACTCAATGAGCGCTCGCTATTGATATAAATGATGGAAATTAGATTTGAAATGGCCAGTACGACAGAATGGCAATTTTATAGGTAAAGGTACCAGAAGCCCAATCCTTCTTCTCCTACAACCTGTCCCTATATCTTTGAAACCCTAATCTACAAAAGTCCGTGATCGCACTCGTAACTTCTCTGGTGTTGTCTGGTGGTGTTCATGGGCGCACAATTGCTTGCCATCAGGTATGTACCTAATCTGTGCCTGTCCATTTCGAATTTTTATTTATTTATTGAGAAACAGCTTACGCCATTAAGTTGTACTGTTAATTATATTATGCCGTTCTATATCACATAAAAAATTACTTACACCTTTACAAGTAATCAGTTTTTTCCCGCGGCTAGTGAAGCGTAGTATGGTCCCCAATCGAAACGCTTCCATGTTGGAATGGCGGCCTGGCAAGTTAGGAGAAGGGATTATTATTATTAATGATTTAAAGGATGAAATTATTGAACTGAAACATGTCGGTACAGTAACAAGAGAGCAGAAGTTTGCGTCATCAAAAATTTATAACGTCAAAGATTTTTTATATGACGATACTTAGTTGCTAAGAATTTTTATTTTTTCAACACATCGGTTATAGCGAGCTGAATAACAGTTTACTGATAAATTTAGTTTGCCGAAAAACTTTAAAAGGTTGTTTTTTTGTTTTTATTTTTGTGAAGTCTTTACTCATGAAAAGGTATTTATACTAATCAAATTTTCATACTGCCAATCACTACATGTGCGATAATAGGAACTAGCGTTTGTTGAGCCTTGTGCAAGGGATCTACTACTCCAATCAATACTAATATTACAAAAAGGCATCTAAGTTTGTATGTAGGGGTAATCTTTGGAACCGCTCTGGTCGGAATTTCCAAAATTCTTTCACTGGCAGATGGCTACATTGTTTATTTTTTAAGGCTATAAATTTATAAAAAAAATAGGTGATACTACTTGATTTGCGTATTTTAGTTGAGCTATCGCTTTAAACGCTCCTTTTTTAAAAAACTTATACGTGTGCGAAGCCGCGGGCGGAAGCCAGTCTATTATCAATTGCTTTGATTCCATATAGGTACGATTTGTTTTTAAGTATAAATCAATGTGTGTCTGTTGTGGCATCGTAGCTACTAAATAGACTTGCTGATTTCGATGAGCTTTAGTTTACACCAAAAAACTAGTCGGTGATGAAATCTGATAAGTACAAATTCCTGATTAGTAGTTTACTCTACACAGTTTTTTGTGATTACCTACATAGGGGTAATGAGTCATTTTTTTATACTTACCGTAGGTATTAAGCTATGTAAGTGGGTACATTTTAAACATTTCGTTATCATGATTACCCATATACATAATGCATTCATTGTGTACATATCATTTTGCATTATTCTAAATTGACCGCGCAGTTTACGGCTATCGAAATCAGGTCAATTAAATGGTAATTGTAAGTCACATTATTACGAATGGCTTCTTTACAAAACTTTATGGAAAAATGAACCTTATTGACGGCTCAAATCCAAAACATTATTATTTAAATGTACCCACAAAATATTAAAAAAGATTGCATGGCCACAATGAGAGAGGCACATATACTTACTTATTTAGTAAAAATAACACTAGATAAATTTAACCTAGGTTTTTTTTTAAATTAGTAAATATCTAGGTACTGTTTTTATTCTACTTTCGCTTCTCACAAAATTTTGGGGTAGTTTTAGTGTTTTGTCTAGTATTAAGAAACATAACACAACGTAAAATTAAAATAAACATTATATACTAGCATAGTCTAAATCACATAAATGACCGGTTCCGGTAATCAACATAATAATCATTAGGTTTCATTCTCTCATTCACATTTCAAAGCTAAATAAACAAACACTACAGAGTTCAAAAAACTATGTAGGTATACGAAATTAAATACTTTCACTGAACTTTGCTCCCTCAATGAGTAAGTAGAATAGGAAAACAATGCATGCATCTTATTAAATTAAAGTTTATAAGGACTAAAGAAATAATCAACGCCAAAATATCAAAACACAAATTACCTTTAAATATACACAAATAGGAACACTTTTGTATCAAAAATATAGCGGGAAAACATTCGTTTTGAATGAAATATCACAGTATAATGTCACATTTGGTTTGTAAAGCGGTGACCGGGGTTATTGACCTCAGCGGGTGACGCGTGCGTTAGTAGCACGAGTTGTTGTTATACTGACGTTAGGTTAGGCGCGTCGGCCGGCGCGACGCCGAATTCGGCTCAAGGATAAATTATGTATGAGGAAGCCGAAATATCTTTCAAATTGGTTTCTATTTAGTTTCATTTCTGTAAGTACTGCGATAGTATTTCTCGCTATGTTTTCAGTTTTGAGGTGAACAGGTTAGAGGGATCATTTATTGTGTGTTATGGTGTTATTACTTCACTACAATATAGGTACAAGACAAGGTCGTTTTCTCTGTCCCTAAATCCCTATTTACGCTTAAATCTTTAAAACAACGCAAGGCATTTTGATGCGTTTGTTTTAATAGATAGGTAAGAGTGATTGAAAGGGAATGATTATGTGTGTAGTAAATAATAACATTAATTAAATAGGAGAGAAATTTACTAAGTATCAGAATTGCACCCGTGCGGGTGGGTTGCTAGTTAATATTAATTGGGTTAGTTCCTTATTTAACTAGGAGAAGTCTACTAATTGGCAACAAAATATTATGTTACAGAATTTCAGTCTTGTGTATTTTCAAAGTCAGTAATAATGTTGAATATGTAGAACAAAAGTCTCTTACAAAGCAGAAAAATCCAAACGTACAGTGGCCAACAGAATTTTTTACCATTTTTTATTATATTTTCAACTTTATGTTCTTGACATAAATTTAAAAGTGTATTGAAAAATTGTGATAGATTGGTGAAGACCTGGAATCCTACTAAAGAATTTATGAAACTAATTAAAAAAAATACTTATTTTATGAACATTTTTCTGCCTCAAATCTCTGATTATATTTTTATTTCTTTGTATACTTTAACATTTACCTTAATATGTGCGAAATATTATTGTACATATGTCCATTTTATATATTTATCCTATTAAGGCGCATGTGCAAATGTATACATACATATTCGTTTGTGAATCACATAGATTTTTTTCATGCGGGATCGATCCCGCATCTCGTCGTATAAGCTTAGCTACCGCACCAACTGTGCAATCAACATAATGGTACATTATATCTGGTTAGCATTTAATGGATTAAATTGGTAAATCATTTATACCATTTATTATTTCGGTTGTAACAATAAAGCAAATATCAGATCCGAGCGTACGGCACGTAACGTTCCGCACGTGACTCAAAGATCCAATAGATCACCACAGACGGGGCCCTATAGGGTTGATGTTCAAACAGGGTTGCGGCAAGGTAATAATATCTAATTTTTACTGTGGTTGCGGGGTCAGCGCGGTGAGGCACCGCGACTTGCCTCATTGGGGAGAAGCCATTTGATGATTTTCCCCTCACAAAAAAAACATAGTAAGAAACAATTTTTTACCACACACAGATAAAACATAAAAAAGGAAGTAATTCGTAAAAAGAAACAACAAAAAAGATTTTTATAAAAGTGTATTTTATTTTATCTATTACGTTAAACTAAAGACTACAGTGCATATTCTCTTATACTATAATTATCTATAATATAATATAAAAATCTTAAAACTAAACATGATAAATTCATTGTTTTAATACTTAGGCCCTGATCCACAATTTTCTATGTAGTTTTAGTACACTTTGAATGATTTTTAGGAACTTAAATTTAAAATGAAAACGTGTTTTAATTTTAATGCCTTTTTGCATTGGTCTAGTTTGCAAGTCGATATGACAGTAGAGTAATTTCAAACATCGTGAAATTAGCACTTATGATATATATGCTTATGTGATCCGAAACTAGCTACTCCACCGCGTCTTCACTTGTTGCTCGACTTGTATTAAACGGAGCATAGCGATAGCATAGCCTTTCTTCTCAGTAAGCGTACAATCCAATAAAAATTGTTCAATTCCTATAAATAAACAAACTCCTTAGTTCGACATTTGGTTCAAAAATATTCAATTGAAGACTATACTAGGATAAACCTCCAAAAATAGTTTAAAATTCGAATCAAATCGAAGACGAAAAATAAAACAAAGAAATGCTTAACTACTGTTAAGCGTTTAAATGTTAGATTTCGTGATGAAAAACGTGTTGTCTCTTTCATTTCCATAGTAAACTTTCGAAGAGGAAATGAGACAAAGATATTTTAGTAGGATACGAATATCAATAATTTAGGTAACATGATTTGACATCTGTAATAGAATAACTCCTCTAACCCTGTCTGAGGGGAGAGTGAGCATTACTCTTATTTATTAACATAGGTATTGTATGTATATAATTATATATAAGTATAAGCGAGACACATTGTATTTTCCATTGTGTCTCATATATCGACAGACGAGAGGTTAAAAACCATTCGGTTTTCAATCTGAGCCGGGCCGAATAGGAAGAGGTTGCAGCCCTACATTTCTTTATTAATATTATTGTCAACAAATATAATTGGGTGACAGCCTGCATAGGCCAAGAGAAATTCAGTATTGCCAGCACCATATAAAATTACAAAGATATGTTTAGTAATCATTTTAGAAATTATTGGTCACCTTTAAAATTAATTACTATTGGACAATTTCCAAACAACGTTTGTAAAATAAAAACGATGTTTTAATGCAGGAATAAATTTACAAATATACGGAAAATGGCTTAATCTCCAAAGAGTTCGTCCGTACAAAATTGGAAACTTTTCTTAAGATTATTCCCTCATACTTTTTCCATAATACCCGACACGAAACATGGCAAAGATTTAAGCATGGCAGGGTTGCCACTTCCTTTCCTTTGCTTAATTTTATGATGGTCATTAATTCTTCAAACCCCAAGCGAACGCAGGAATTCGCGTCCGTGTCGAGAATTACCACGATTGAAGGTTAAAAAGCAAAACCAGCATAAAAGCAAGGGTTTGTCATAGGAGAGTGGTATTTCGCGACTTAACTCCTAAAATTATGTCTTATTTGTGAAGACATAAAGTTGATTTTGAAAAAGCATTTATAAATAGGCCAATTATTGTCGAATCAGGTTTGATAGAGATTAAATGACGTAATAGTCATTTCCAAGGCAACTAAGTCTTATCCCTTGTAGTGTAAGCAGTTGTGTTATATTTTTAACACATTTTTTCTAATATCAAAATGTTAAGTGTTTTATTTCAATTAATTCTACTATTAAAAACAATGTTTTCAAACAATGCAAAAGTCTGTTAAAGTTTTCGGTTCTTCAGTGAAGGTAAGATTATTGCAAAGTGTAAATTCCTGTAGAGAAAAAGGTGCAAACATACTAATATTTTTTGAAAAACAACTATCATATATTTTTACAGCCTCTTTCCAAGTCTTAGTTAGAATTACAGTATCTTGGATATTACATGCCCACTGCTGAGCATAGGCCTTTTGAGTATTAATCATCAGGCTTGCTCAAGGAGGATTGGCGATTTCAAATTTATATTTAGAAATGATTAGTCCTCACGATTTCCTTCACCGTTTGACAATGAAAAAGTCACACTGGTACTTGCCAAGTTTTGAACTACATATAAATATTAGAAACTAAAATCTAAAGCGGGAACTGAACAAGATCTCCAATTAATGTTATTAGCGATAAATACACAACTAGGAGGATTTGCAATAATCCTTTTACTTGGCAGAGGGCACAAAAAATTGAGGTTGAATATACGACGGTTATTAAGTGCCAAAAATCTAACACGTCTGCTTACTCCACAAATCTACAACCACAAACTATACAATAGATACGGCCCCAACTAACTTACTAACTAAATTAAACAACGAGACCTAAACAACACAATCAATATTCTTTTTAGCCGACTTCCCCAAAAAAGGGAAATTTCTCAAAAAACAATGGAATTAAAAAAAAAATAAAATAAAAAAAATCCTGTAATTTTTATCATTGGATTTTCGACTTTATATTAAAACAACAAAGTGCTTAATCGCTGTATAAAATCATAGAATAACTAAACATCAGTAAGAATAGCTGGACAACAATCAAAAATGTACTTAAAAAACTTGCATTGAAAGTTGATTTTAATTGACAATCGATTTATCTCTAAGTGCCAATATAAATAGAGCTTATTCCTATTGCATTAAGGTTGTAAATGTCTCGTTGTGTAAGAGTTAGCGTTTATAACCTCATGCGCATTTTTTCGGGTTGGGAGACAAGGCCGTAAGCGTCGAGATGAGCGTAGAGAGCCGCCACGTATTCCTTGGGGTGCTTCGTGTAGTGTTGGACGTGAGGTGATCGGTCCCAGCATTTCCAGGTGCACTGAAAACAAATACAAATGTCGGGTTAAAGGAAAATCAACTCTATACATGCTTACATTGGATACTATTTTATTTAATAGATCAACAAACTACTGCATGGTCGGTTCACCTGATGGTAAGCAATAGGTGCCACCCGGTGGATAATTGCTGAATGCTTTAACTATCACTTTTACGAGTACAATAGCATGTAATACCCGGGAACGCAACGAATGCGTTGGTGTTGCGGGTGTCCAGGGACAGCGCTGATTGCTTAACATCAGGTACCCTTTACAAACAACCCATTTAAAAAAGTCTTGAATATTAAGTAAAGTGATTTTAAGGGAAATACTGCCGCACGGTTTCATCCACTGTTCGGCTCGTAAAGGTCTTTGGATGTAGTTTTATTCAGAAACATTGTAGCTATCTATCGATAAAAGAATTTTTAACCGATAATCGGTGCCAAAGATTACCCCCCAACATACAAACTTTATCTCTTTGTAATATTGGCATAGATGACGTTTGACATAACATTTGAAACATGTCACATGTCAATTTCATTTCCATACATTCATTTTTCGACTGTCTCAAGGTTCACTGTGTCTTGGGCAAGCGCATGAAAGCCATTACATTCCTATATAGCAGAGATCCGTTTTATAAAAAAAAGTATATGACCAGGCAATACCTTTATTCCCATTTTGACCCAGCTGTCGTGGACGCTGCGATTGCTGCGCTCAGCTCCGACGGGATCGCTGCGGGACAGTAAGAAGAGGGCGGGCGCGTGGCACAGGTTCGTGTGGAACAGCTGAGAGGATCTGATGTAGTGAGACGTGGCTGCATCGTGGAACGTCTTCATGTGGTATCTGGAGAAAGGATATTATGATTAAAGCAAAATTTTTGACTATCCTCAGTCATAAACATCGACTAGGGTCCGGGCGCCCAGCATTCTCAGATAAACTGGACTCTCTTATTTATTTATTCATTATAATAAGGTAGGCTTACAGCTTATGTCTACAAGGTAGTTTAAAGTATTGGTTATAGGCAGTAGGTCTTATACATTAGCCAGTTACGAGCTAACCAGCATTCTTAATTATGCGTTTATACAGACAAAAAATATAGAAATTAAAACTAGAACTAATTGAATTAATAAAAGTAGAACAACAGTATTAATAATAGTAAAGAATTAACTAAATAAAATAAAAAATAAAATTTGATATTGCTACCGTTTATAAATTTAGAATTATGCTACATGAATGTATAATGTAGTTATAATTTTAGACATTTTAGATAGGAGTACGCAAAAAATCGGATTATTGTTAAATGGACTCGTATATTTTTGAATACTCTTAGCCTTTCTATTTATCGTGGTAATTCGAGATACAATAGGAGCGCAAACGCCGGCGTTCGCTTGGGGTTTGATAAATTAAACTGTGGTCTCTAATTCGCTTCTCAATTGTAGATAATATGGCAAACCCCTCTCAAGTAGAAGAGACTTATTGCTTGTTGTTCTTAATTATTCAATGAAAATTTATGCGTAATATTTATTTACGATGGATATTTCACGCATGATTTTAAGTATAATTATAAACAATTAAGCATTTTTCATTTGCATAATGATGAACGCTTAATAAGATTTTACACTAACCAAATCTTTAGGTGGTTATTGACGGCGCCGATTGCCATCAGGCACCTCGACGTAAAAAAATAGTATTTTCTTATTATTTTTGTGTTTTCTTTGGCTAATAGGTAACTAATAATTATAATTTATTTAATAATAATTGAGAATTACCTATTTGTAATTGTTTTTATGAACAGCAGTTTTAACTGTGGGGTTTTTAGCCACACAATCAAAGTCATAAGCAACGGAAGAGTTTTATATCGCAAATAGATTTTGTAAACGGTTATCTATAGAATATGGAACATACAATGTATTTGAACTAATTACTTTAATAGAGTTAGCCGTCCGTCTGGGTCTGATAACGTTTCAATGTTGATACAACATACATACTTATAAACGGTATAGATTGGAGTGTACATTATGTGTTTTTATATGGCCAGCAAACGAGCAGACGGTTTACCTGATGGTAAGCAATCGGCGCCGCCCATGTACACCCACAACACCAAAGAAGTTACGAGTGCTTTGCCGGCCTTTATATTGGAATTTAAGTATTGGAATTGGGTCACCGGTAACCTCAATCACGCGGCGAAACAACGCTGTGGTTGTTTCACGCCGGTTTTCTGTGAGGACGTCGAAACTCCGGTCGAGCTGACACATTCGTGCCGAAACTTGGCTCTCCCAGAACATAATCGAACAACTTCCCACAAAAGAAGTATTATATTAAGTTTATATAAAAAAATTATTATTAAAAAAACAAAATACCCGACTGCACACTAAAAAAAGAGTAAAACAAGCCCCACAATACAAATTTACTGAATATAATTTATAAATGTTGATGGAAAGCATCGCAGGCGGGGACCAACAGAGGCTTATTTATAGTCATTTCTGTTGTGCACCATTTAGCAGAATTTTCGTTGGTGGCGGTCAAGGTGGTCCCCGCCTGCGATGCTTTCCATCAACATTTATAAATTATATTCAGTAAATTTGTATTGTGGGGCTTGTTTTACTCTTTTTTTAGTGTGCAGTCGGGTATTTTGTTTTTTTAATAATAATTTTTTTATTTATAACTTTTTCCCGTGGGAATTTTGAGAAAAAACGTATCCTATATTAATTACTCCCGTGATTGAAATGAATCTAATGATACCGCATACATATTTTTTTAAAGGGAAATTTAGAAAAAATATTATTATGTCTTTATCCCGTGGGACTTTTAGGATAAAATGTATCCTATGACACTCCCGTAATCAAGACAAATCTAACGATACCTCATACATCAAAATCCATCAAGCCGTTTAGGCTACAGGAGGTCACAAAGGAAAAGACATACATACATACTTACATACACTCGAAAAACATTACCCTCCTTCTTTGGCAGTCGGGTAAAAATAGTTTTTATTATAAGGCAATATTTTTGAGGTAGGGTTCCGGTTTCAAGCGCTATAAAGTTTCGCGGGCCTAGCCTGGAACAAGAACAAGAACAGGATGGTTTTTAGTCAGTAAGAGTCTGACACCCTCCCTCTTGCCCCACCAAAATAGGCATTTTTTGTAGGTCTGTGATTAAAATTTAAGAAAAATGTCCTATCAGAATTTGATCAAGTTCCATACCATATTGCGTATAAAACCAATATTTACCTTACACGTGTAAAACCTATATTTTATTAATTACTTAATTATAATGCGAACTACTTGGTTAGGTACTGCTTTATTATTTTCAGAGGAAATACCGAAGAAAATTAAGCTAGTTAACTTATTCTTTAAGTTAATTACTAGCCATTTACTCAATTATATATTTTAAGGTTACTCATATTCGTATACCTAGTAAGTTTTATTAATATTAAAATATGTAAGTACTTAGAAGGGCGCCTAAAACAAACTGTATTAACAAAGTTATTTCATAATATTTAACTGGGCAGTTACAGCATACTATTGATTTGTTTGCAGATGGCTGGAAGGAAATTTTATTAGAGTGCATGAGGTACCTACCTACTGCAAGAGGAACTTATGAATGTTGTAATTTTTTGTTGTTAATGTAATTGGATCTAATCCGTATCAACATAAATCTTACTAACAGTATAGATGCGAAAGTTACGATGTTTGGATGTTTGTTACTCAATCACGCTAAAACGTCTGAACGGATCAGGATGAAATGTGACACAGGCATAGGTTACACTGCGGAATAGGACATAGGCAACTTTTCATCAAAGCCGCGGGCGGAAGCTAGTAAAGAAATAAAATAGCTACATTGATACAGACTGGGTTTAATACCACACGCATTCTTGCTATCCAACCTTTTACGAACTTTAGATGAGAGTGTTGCAGTGATTAATGGTCGATGAAATTACATAGAAAAAAATTGAGCAAAAGAAAATTTGAGACAAATAATTATTGATGATGTGTAATCTAAGCAATGCAGCAAAATCATTGCCTGCAAACCATATCCATGTACTTTTGGAACATCCAAATCGAATAGTACCTACGCCTGTTCGTCTGTCTGTGAAGCACCTGCTGACGATCGGACTGATATGATGATAATGACGATCAATGATCATGTTTCGCAGTGTGACTTAATATCCTGTGTCCCCTAGATGGGGCAGAGGGCGTCCACTGAAGTTCTCCATCGCGATCTGTCTTAAGCTTCACGCTTCACCTCACTCCACGTCATACCGATGCTCGTCGCTTCTGCCAGTACGGTGCGACGCCAGGTTTGCCGTGGACGGCCACGCTTTCTTTGATTCGATCAATGATCATGTTTCGCAGTGTGTGTTTTGTTATATAGTTGTTGTACTTTGAGTAAGTATTTCGGGTCATTGTATTGAGCGACGGTCAATCAAACGAGTCCTCAAACACGTGTGGCCTTGAAATGAAATCGGCTGATACGTACTCCATTATTAGATATGTAATGTTTGAAACATTTATCTATTATTTATTTGCGATTATATTTTAAACTAATCTCATTTGGAACTATGAAACTACTGGGCGGTTTTGTAAATACTTATTTAGACACACCTTTGCCAAAATGCCTTTATTTCTTTTAAGTGATCAAGTCAATACAATATTTATAGAAAAGTGCCGTTTTTTAATTCAATAAAAATATTAAAGTTGACTAACTGGAAACTATCGTATTGTGTGTATTTCCCTTATAAAACAATCTGAAATTTATATACTGATCAAAACTAAAGGTTTACATTTTTGAATTGAATTGCCAAATAGCAAATACACTATTCGTTTATTTATTTATCATGGCTTAAAAGGTACATTTTATATTATAAAATGTCCAACAAAACTGTATGCACAGTTTGTCTGTTGGATCAGATTTCAAAAACTAACTTAATAGAACCTATAGTAAGCGTTAACATAGTCATTACGCTAACAACTAAATAATAACTTTAGGTAATGTTATGAGATCGTTTATAATGGTGAAAACTAGTAGCACCGATACCACAGTATAAATATCATACAGTATTGTAACTCGGCCGCTTTAAAGAAATAAATACCTACAGCCGCGCGGTACGTAAACATGCGTTAGGGCTGCTCGTCTCCAGTATTTTAATTACCTTTGTCTACTTTCTGTTTCCATTTAGTTTTGTGATTGTAAATATCCTTTTTTTATATAAACAAATAAAGTGCTTTAAAAATAAACAAACAAAATTTCTTTGGCCACTAATGCCGAACTGAACAGCTGACTACGAATGTTCTAAAATCACAACCCTCAAACATCAAAATATTACATGAGTCTAGCTGTTTTATTGTTGTTATTAAATATTTTCTAGTATTATTTGTCGGAGCGTCGATTATTTAATTTGAATTTTGAAGGAGGTTTTATCACAACTCATCGGACGAGGGTACCATAAATTGTACTCTGGCGGAACGTCAAACTGACAGTTCTGCGTGCGCATTATGGTGGAGAGCGAGCGCTGTGACTGTCATCTGAGACGGATCGCCGACGTCCGTTATTTTTGTAATTTATTTGGTCTGATTATAAAATCCTACGCCCTGCGATGGACTGTGAAGACGATGATCGGGATGTTGCTGTTTGTACCAACCCCCCGGTGCCTTCATATTCATAAACGCAGATAATAAACAAATATTATTAATAATAAAATACCACACTCTCTACTTTGAATTATACAAACTAACAAAACATACATGAACCGTTTTAACACAAGCGTAAGTAGGTAGGTACCTAACGTATCATGATTCATTCAGAACCAGAACCGCCTATAACTACCTATTTCACTCGTCTCAATAACTTTATTCATATTATTTATAAATTCAAACATCTGTTTTCGTGAGATAACTGGAAATAATGATACATAAAGACACACATTATGTACCTACCTAGGCTACTAGTAAGTAAAATTATTTTATAGTCTTACCTTTCAGAGTTTCCAGGTAATTTAAAAAAAAACTTATGTCTGGATGCGTTATTGACAATGATGTATAAAACTATAGATACGTTGTCCGCGCTCTAAAATGACAACATAAAATGAAGGCAATTGACAACATCGTGCTTAGTTACGCACCAACCTGCCGCGCGACGCTACGTTTGTTTTTAATTTATATCGTGTGTAAACCTGTGCAAAACACAAAGAAAGCATGTCTTCGTGTGTGTTCAGGCGATGTACAAATTATACTCCAAAAGTTAAAGACAAAAATGTGTCATTTCATGCGTAAGTTCACCAAACAACCTATTTTTATTTTATTTTTTTCGACGCTGGCGCCCGCCATCTTATGGCGGCCGGCGCATGAAGGTATAGTCACGTGCCGTCGGCATAACTGAAGATGTATATTTATCTCCCTCTAGCAAAGGCATTCCACTATACGATGTCATATTTTCTTTCCCTTTCTTTACTCGTAGAAGTAGTTATCTAGTATTTTCGCCGTTTTTAAGCGCCGCGATGTTGGTTCATGACGTGTCTATATATAATACGTCATTGGTTATTGACGAATTCATGCAACCAAACATAATAATAGCACAATATTTCCTATTCGTCATATTAAATAATGTACTCGAGCTGATTTCTAAATAAAAGACAACACACCGTCCGTTCGTCACTGCGGTACAGCCGCGTCTGTCTGCGTCCCGAGCGCGTCCCGACATCGGGCGCGTAGGTATAGTTCGCGTTTCGGCCGTTTCTATGAAGTTGAAATACTTGTAGATATTATATTACCTTGCCGATACGATTGGACTTCGGTCGGTGGACGAGTTGACCCGCCGATGGCCACGGATCAAGTACCTATCTAGTACCTACACTTGGTTTAGCAACTATCTAGATTCTAGACTCTTACCCCCTTATTACAAAACAAGGTTTATCTTTAGTCCAGGTTTAAACCATTGAGTCGGGTTTTGAATTTTGAATCTTATTGTCATCTACCTTCAATTCGAAATACGAAAACTGACTCAATGGTTTAGTCCTAGACTAAAGTAAAACCTTGTTTTGTAATAAGGCCGTTAGTCTTTGATCCTTTACTTTAATCTATACTTATAAAAGAAATAAGCTGTAAGAATACTTTCGATAAAACTTTTTTTTTTCAAATAGGTTACATAGTACCAATTTTATTAGTCAACATTTTAAATAAACTATACCTCATAAAAGATAGCTTGATCTCTGTGACATTCGTCAAACTGACATTCCTAGGGTTGTCATGGTACAAAAAAATATCGATAATAATTTTCGACGTTTTTTACTTATCGATGCTAAAATTATATGTTTAATTGGAATATAATTTGGGTACTGAAATGAAACTAATATTTTAATCTAAGATAAATTTATTCCAAAGGAGTACACCCCAAATCTATATCCAAATCCCTTTCAGAATGTCCCGAAACCCAAAGTTGTCGAAAGAATTTTACATGAGTAGGTTACTATTTAAATTTTCTTTACGCACTATTGTAAATAATGTTATTATTTTAAAATATACAATAAAATAAAATGATAAATTAATTTTGAATTAAGAAAAAATATCACTCATCACTAATTATAGTTCATTCCATAATTAGAGACAACGATTTGACATGTCGAGTGTTGCAAGTTTTTTCCATTTCATAAATAGTGAAGTCCCGCGACCGGTATTGACCGAAAGACCGAAATTAAATTCTGGACTTCGTGCATTTTAAAAGCTTTATTATTTTTTGCTACTTTCCCTGGTACCTTCCTGTGCCCATACTAACTCAGTCGGGTTAAAATCACAAAGGTAAGGAGGCAAAAGTAAAATAGTGACCCTCCTTTTTGCAGCCATCAGTCCACGACGTATCATTCATAATTACTCTTCTCTTGCCGGGAAATCTCCAACAGCTCGGCTTTCAGCATAGGTTCCTCAAATATAATGTTTTTCTTTTAGGCAGTCTTGGATTTTGCATTTTATTTTAAATAATTATTATTAATTCGACTAAACTATAAAAAACATCACCGCAACGTTGTTTTATTTTGCTCAGGGTATTTTATAAAAAAACGGTATCGGTATTTTATTTAAAACATCGTACTCGGGCCCATCACTATGTTAAAAAATCTGGCCACATTATTTTGTAGTTTGACATTTGCTGTTGTCAAATTGTTGTCTCTAATTATGGAACGAACTATAGGTCAGCATGCCCATAAAGTATGACATTGACAGGTACGTTTCTCGGTACTGTTAAATTCAGATCTTCATAGGCGCGATTTTACTGACAGCTGTCCCAGAGATCAAGCTATTTTTTACTAAGTGTAGCTAGAGAAACTAGGCATTTCCCGTCTGTCTACTACGAGAAGAAACGTTACAACGAACTCCGAGATCACAGCTTCTTTTAAACTACATACAAGTAAAAAAATGTGGGAGACCCGTTACAATAAGTACCTACGCGGGTTGATTCAAAGCTTTTCGCGCGGTCTTTTGAGCGAGTCAATCTCAGAAACTACTAAAACAGATTTTAAATGAATTTGTATTTTTGATAGTTATTTTTTAACAAAATAAATTATCTTTATTTTTATGTTTACTGTTTTTTTAGAGGAGACAAATATAAGAAAAAATCTTGCTGCATATTATTGCCTAATTTTTAATCATACTTACATAAAGCAGAATAGAGCCTAACTGTTGAACTTATCTGAACGCGCCAATCTCCCGAACTACTGGTTCGAATTGAATAATTATTTTGTGTTGAATAGACCGACTATTGAAGAAGATTATATGCCGTCAAACATCACGCTACCACCAAAAACAGCCAAGCAGTGGAAAAAACTGGGCAGGAGTAGCTAATCATATCTATGTCATTTGTAGGTCAAATTGCAGATAATCGCGTGGATTTTTTTATTATTATCTATTTACATAATCTAATATTTATGAATGCACGCACGTGTACAATATTCGTACATATCGCTACGCGTTACTTTCTATTATCTTCTCTATCTTTAAACGTCATTTATTGTAATTTATAGAATCAGGCGTTACTTTGCGGAAATCCATGACATTAAATGTTATGAAAAATATTTAGTTTTTATTCGGCGACAAAAATCCAGGCTTGCTGCAGGATGCAATCCCACTCCTATGCAATCATGGATATGCGCATACAGCAAAGGTAACATGCATATGCACACGTGCAAAAACCGAGCGCTCGTCGAGTCAACATCCCCTGAGGATGCTTTGTGGAGGGGCGAAACACGTGTCGAGTATAGGTTTGATTGCGTGGCATGTTTTTCCGTTTTGTGTATGTGTGCATATGTATGTTACCTTTGCTGCATGTGCATATGGATGATTGCATAGGAGTGGGATTGCATCTTGCAACAAGCCTGGATTTTAATGCCATTTATTGTTATAAATATTATGTGAAGGGATATTACTTATAATATATAGTACAATACCGCCGACGTTTCTTGGCGTGTCTGAAGTTAGCCGATTAGCTGCGCAGTATACGATTTTGTTCCTAAAAGATCCATTGCGCAGACAAACGGCTAACTTCGGACTCGCAAATATACGGCGGCCGTACTGTATACGTTTTTACTGGTATATTAATTTAGAAATCATTTCACATAGAGACATCGTGATGGCCTACACGTGACGGCGCCCGCTTCTCGTGAACTGTGAGTTTAGGAAACTTAGGTGAGTGGTTTGTAGTTTCTTAAAATTGAATTATCACTGACACAGGTGAAAATCGTAAATATATCTGGACTTATAATTTCTAATATTAAGTAGGTATCACCATTCTTGGTGCAATGAGCAAGTGTGGTGGTCTAATTCTGTTATAGAGCAAAGGATTATAGGCTAAAAATCCCGCGTTCCTTCTGGTCCAGGTTAAGACCGCAGTACCTTAACACGCTAGCCCTGTAACCCCGGCTGAACATCAGCCCTATAGGGCCCGTCTATGGTGGTCTATTGGCTCTTTGAGGCACACGTGCAACGGTCTGTTGGCGGAATCTCTTGCTCGGCGTCAGCAGACCAGCGCAGGAGATACCTATCCTGTGTAAACCATATAAATAATTGAGGTACTCACTCCATGTACGCTCGGAGTGTCTTCTGCATGATCTGGTTCTTGGGGAAGACGGCTGCAGGTACACCGATGGTGATCTCACTGATGTCCGCTGCAGAGTCCCAAACTTGGGCCACCACTCTGTCCATTACTGGTTGGTATCTGAGGATGATTGATATTATTATGTAAAATGTTTTAGTTTTCAACATGATTTGCTAATAATTAAAGTATTTATTTTGTTGTTACACTTTTTGAAATACGTACAAAGGCTTAATTAATGCCACAAGTCATTTACCAGTCAACGGTAAGTGTGATGCTGAGAAGCGTTAATTATCTGATACTTCTGGTTTTTCGAATATTTCAAACCTGACTTTGTGTCGTGTTTGGGATTTGTGGGATTGGGGATAGGGGATTTGAGATAGAGAAATTGCGGTTAATGGGGATTTATAGAAAGGGAGATTGGGGTCAGCGGGCTGGGACGATAGGCCTATGATAGGTAACCTAGACACGGCTAAACACAACATTGTTTCATTGTAGTTGGCTGTATGGAATTACTTTGACCCTGGAGAGTAACTTTGATCCAAACCCGTTATTATTGATTAAGGGTTTTAGATCAAAGTTACCCTGCAGGGTCAAAGTAACCCGAAGTTACGGTATTAGTAATTAATTACAAAATACAAGGAAACTCACTGTTCCTTATTCTTCATGACGTGGGCACAGACTTCGCCCCACATGTAGCCTCCTACCGAGAACCCATGTACAACCAACGGGTGCTCATTGTCATTCACAGCCATGAACTTAATCAGATCTCCAGCCACCAACTGCAAGGTAAAACTGACTTTAAAACTTTGCTAAGTAAGGACGATTTTCATATTCATAAGACTGAAAATTCTTTACAAATTTCTTTGACAATTAAAATTTAAACCATATTTTATAGTAATTGAAGTTCAAAATGATTTGCTAGGGTAAAACAAATTGTTATACTTTCAATATCAACTTTATCACTATTAACACAAAGAAGAAAACGCATTGTTTACCAATGTTGTACAGGTGATTCAATTTCAACCCGTAACTACTTATATTTAAAGTTAAAAATGCCATATACCTGGGTTCCCTTGACTGGCCACATAAGTTGCCATGGTGTGCATGCCACGGAGACCACGTCAAAGCCCTGTTCCAGGTATAGCGTGGCGTACTTCATGACGTGCTTCTGTCTGGCCAGGAGCCAGTTAATCATTACGCAAATAGGTCTCTCGATAGGTTTGTCCAGCCTGGAGACAATGACAAAATATTCTTAATCTTAATCTATATAAATATAAAACCAATGCCACTTTTCATTGTAACGTTATAACTCAACAATGCCTAATTTGGCTAATTTTGGTCTGGCTGAATTATTCGTGGAAGTCCAGAGAAGTACGTAGTAAAAAAATCTTGAAAAAGTGTAATTCACGCGGGCGGAGGCGTCTAGTACATTATAGAATACATAAGCGTCGTTCATGCTTGAGGTAGGTACGCAAGAACTAACAAATTAGAAAATGATGACAACACAGTGATTTTTTTTTAAACTAGCTTTTAATCCGAGCTTCACTCCCATCACTAAACCAACCTACTTACCTACTACGATTGACAACCTAAACTTTCTGCCCTACCTACCTACCCCACTCTATCCTATTTCCTTCTCCCAGTTCTTTGCTAGCTCCTTACCAATTTTCAGCCAAATCGGTTCAGCCGTTCTTGAGTTATATAGAGTGTAACTAACACAACTTTTTTAATTATGAATTAAGTAAGTTAAGTAACTAACACAACTTTATGAATTAAGCGATTCTGATATAAACATTCTTGATACTGTCGAAAATATTATTTAATTCGCTTTATTTTTAGTAACTATCTCAAGAAAATCATCTTTTTAAACGGTTTTATTTAGCTCACCTTTATTCTTTCTTGGGTCAAATTTAGTAATTCAAATTTCACCCTCTTCCTGTCAACCGATTAATCTGAAATTTTGTATACACTTTTGCTTTTGGTGACAATACAATTATATGTAATCATAACAATTATAAATCCAAAATGGCGGCCGCTACAAAATGGCGGATGACGTAGGTTTTATCAATCCCATCAATATGGGTATCAAATGAAAGGGCTCAACGAGCAGAATACAATATAGCTACTATAAACAATTTAAATCCAAGATGGCGGCCGCTACAAAATGGCGGATAACGCAGGTTTTATCCATCCCATCAATATGGGTATCAAATGAAAGTGCTCAACGAGTAGAATACAATGTACTATAAAAAATTAAAATCCAAGATGGCGGCCGCTACAAAATGGCGGGTAACGTGGGTTTTATCAATCCCATCAATATGAGTATCAAATGAAAGGGCTCAACGAGCAGAATACAATATAGCTACTATAAACAATTTAAATCCAAGATGGCGGCCGCTACAAAATGGCGGATAACGTAGGTTTTATCAATCCCATCAATATGGGTATCAAATGAAAGTGCTCAACAAGTAGAATAAAATGCACGATAAAAAATTAAAATCCAATATGGCGGCCGCTATAAAATGGCGGATAACGTGGGTTTTATCAATCTAATCAATATGGGTATCAAATGAAAGGGCTCAACAATGCGAATACAATTTACTATGCAAAATTAAAATCTAAGATGGCTGCCGCTACCAAATGGCTGATAACAATTTTTTATCAATCCCATAAATATGGGTATCAAATAAAAGGGCTTGACAAGAAGAATACAGTGCACTATACAACCTCAATATTTAAGATGGGCGCAGCCACTAAATGGCGTATAATAATAAGATTTAAAATTAGAAATTGAATCTGTAATTTTGGTATAATTTATTTATATTTAAGTTTGGGAGAGCCATGCTTCGGCACGGATGGGTCGGCTCGACCGGAGTTATACCACGGCCTCACAGAAAACCGGCGTGAAACAACCACAACGTTGTGTTTCGCCGTGTGAGTGAGGTTACCGGAGGCCCAATCCCTTCCCAATCCCTAAAAGGTCGGCAACGCATCTGTAACTCCTTCTTTGTTGCGGGTGTCCATGGGCGACGCTGATTGCTTACCATCAGGTAATCCGTATGCTCGTTTGCCGTCCTATCACATAAAAAAAGGTATCTGATTAATCCAGCCTGAATCCACCACCCACGTCTCAAGACTTTGTATCGTGTTGAGGACTGTGTGGCGTTAGGGTGGCTAAAAATGATACGTCGTTAGCGGTATACCACCCAAGTTAAAAGTTAAAACGCGCCGAGAACTGTATGGCATTAGGGTGGATAAAAATGATATGTCGTTACCGTTTTCCCCTCAAGACTCAGGCACATCTTGTTGTACATAGCCTTGCCCCTTTATTGGACTTCTGGGGTATGGTCTGGGGGTCTTGACATCTCGAAGGCTTTCGATAGGATATGGCACGAAAGCCTTATTAGTAAGATTCCCTCATTCGGTTTACCTACTGGATTTTGTGTTTGGATCGCAAACTTTCTGAGGGATTGGTCCATCCGTGTGGTCATCAATGGTTGTTCGTCGAGTCAAATGACCATCAATGCTGGGGTCCCTCAGGGGTCAGTGCTCTCCGCAACATTGTTTTTGTTGCACATACATGACCTGCTTAAGCCCGGTCTTTTTGGGTATGCAGACGACAGCACTGTTGCTGAGAGCTACACATCCGGCGCACAAGCCAGTGGGTCACAGATCCAGTCTCTTCGAGAGGCTATGGTTGGGCACTTGAACTTGTCCTTGGAGGCTGTCTCTGAATGGGGCGATGCCAACATGGTCAGGTTCAATGCAGCTAAAACTCAAGCTTGTCTATTTTCTGCTAAAAGGAGTCAATTTAGTCCTGCTCCAACTTTCCGGGGTGTATCCGTGCCGATAACTGACCATCTTGATCTTCTTGGTATAACGCTGACTTTTAACAATTTTGGGCCATACATCGAAGCAAAACCTCAACTGGCTGCAAAAAAGTTGGGAATCCTTGCAGAGTGAAGGTGATATAAATAGTCGATTACAGAAACGACGGGAACAATCAGGTGGCTCTTAGTGGAGTAAGATCTTTGCAGGGACTACGTATAGAGGAGTTGGACTGCAATACATTAACGGGCAAGAAACCTTGCAATAATGAAGTATGAAATGAATTAAACAGAATGCGAAATAAAAACTAAAAACTAGAAAATAAAAATAGGTAAAAAAACTTTTTAAGTTAAACGGTTTTATGTTAAACATACATTGCAATGTTTAACATAAATGTACTAAACACCAGAAAATAATAAAATAGATACAGTCGTGGGAATTATAAACATATGCATAGACTAGACTAAAATAAAACCGTGGGGCACGTCAATTGTCTACAAATCGCGCTTTAATTCGTCGTTAGGTAGTTGACCCGCAGACGGTGAGGAATTTACTTACTATTTTCTTGCTCATGGAAATTCCAATAGTTATACACTCCATGTAAATATAATAAACGTACTACTCACTCACGACTATGAAACCCTAAAACTCGTTTCCACATTCTAGCGCTACTTATAACAAGTCCATCGTTGACAGTTGAACAACTGCCTAATTATCTATTGTACATTACAAAACAAACATTTTAATAACGATTGTAGACAATTGACGTGCCCCACGGTTTTATTTTAGTCTAGTCTATGCATATGTTTATAATTCCCACGACTGTATCTATTTTATTATTTTCTGGTGTTTAGTACATTTATCTTAAACATTGCAATGTATGTTTAACATAAAACCGTTTAACTTAAAAAGTTTTTTTACCTATTTTTATACGACTATATTAATAAAACAGAGTATTTCGTCTCTTTTTAACCAGAAAATTGTTAAAACCAAATCCATTCCTTGTCATTAGATGCACGTTTACATACACACAAACAGACAAACTCCGAACAAACACGATCACGTTATTGCAACGTCCCGTCAGCTGGTCAATAACGCGTGCGTTTGTCATTTAGCCTTCCATTAACTAAACAAGCGAATTGACTCAATAGGTGATGCCCATTCTGAGGATCTCCGCCATTTAAACTGTCCAAGGAATTCGTGTATTAGAAGCTGCTAGCAATTTCTTTGCAAAAGAGATTCGTTGGAACTAAGTAGGAGAGCTACGATTTGGCAGGAATGGGTCGGCTCGGACCGGAGTGATACCATGGCCTCACAGAAAACGGGGGTGACAATCAATCCTCCAATTTCCTGAACCTCCGAAACCCTAATCCCAAGGCCGGCTACGCATTTGTCCTCTGTGGCTAGTCCTCTGGTGTTGCGGATGTCCACGGGCGACTCCGACTGCTTACCATTAGGTAACCCGTCTATTCATTTGCCGTCCTATCATATAAAAAACATCCCTATTTTCTCTCTTCGAAGTCACGAGCCGAATTGAGATAAGTACTCCAGCTAGCGATCTAAGAGATGCCTTTTTTCAGGCTCAGTTCAGATTTGATCCTGATGACAGCCTTTGTTAATTGTTTCACCATCTCAAAGAAAACCATCGCTATACTATATCCAGGTGCAGGTTCCGGATAAGCAGAATGAAGCAGCAACCTTAATTAGCACCAAAATAGATAGAAACATGTAGTGCCACCTATCAACTATTGCCGAATTGAGCGTAATGATGACGAGATTCGACGTAACATGGCAACAGACCATCACATTGGCGAAACATGGTAACAAATCACCAGATAGAAGTCGTCAAACCGACCCACTTCCCCGATTGGCTCCCGATTCAACACACGATACAAATAGAAGGTAATTATATCCCACAAGTGTACCAATAGAATTGCGTAACGTTTGACAAATGGTATCACGTGATGTCTGCATCGCGAACTCAGAATACCTATCTTTAAATCAGACCTAGTTGGCCCGTATTGGGAGGAATTTTCTCAATTAATTGTTTTCGCTTAGAAATAGAATATTCAGTTTTCGTCTTTTAAACCTTTATCTGGAATCCAGCAATCTTCTTTTAGCCTATGACGGTTAATAAAGAAACACGTTTCAATCTTTTATCTTTCTAAGGAACATTTTTTATTCATCTTTAAAGGTGTTTGTGCCAAAGTTTTTTGGAACCTCCAAAACGTCAAAATTCATAACTTCAGTTAACATACCACTAACGAGTAAGTCTCATATGGGTATTGCAAGTCAAATTCTATAAGTAATTCTAACAATTTCGCTTATGGCAACACACACATAACACCTTTATTTCGATAGATTTGGCTACAAAACTAGATAGAATTATAGCACACACTCTAAAAATAATGTATCAAAATCCCCGTAAAAACATAGCGGACAGATACGCGATTAAAACTGAATTATTATTGAAAACCACAACAGAATGTAACTGAATGAAAACTTCTTTCTGAGAAACTTTTTACTAGAGACCTTCCGAAGCATGTCCGGTTTTACAACAAAAATTAAGGTTTTTTTTTATCGAGATACCAGAGTTTCTTGAAATAGTATATACTTACTTCATGGTAGCTGGATCGGCTTTGAGCTTGATCTTGTCGTTGCTGATGTACTGTATATTCTTGGTGATGTCCTGTGTATGTGCGTTGCGGTCCAGCGCAACCATTGCCACGGGGGCGCATGATAGCAGCGGGCGGAATGACTGGGGACAAGGAACAAGACACTTTGTACTATATTCAGAAGCGTAGAAGATTCATTATTGTTTAAATCATAGTCACAATATGGATAATCAAAGTTTTCTTTTTTTTTCATCAGTTTTTGTTAAGGTCTAAAGACGAACGCCGTCGTTGAGCAAGCCTTGAATATATATTAGTGTTTCTTAACTGGATAAAACTAGGATTTAGGATTCGTTTCAGAACATTGAAATTGGCGAGAAATTAAAATTGAGCATGTTTTATCCGCCACGAAAAAACATAACAATTAACACTGACTTAGTAGCTTGGACAATTATGTAATTAGTGAATCAACATCAACATTATTGTTAAGGAAAAAAGTTGTATTAATATTTTTTTGTCATCACGGATTTATATCAAAATATACGATTTTTGTAACTGCTACTAGATGTGAGTCAGAGATTGGTTATCACGTGCTATTATAACTAGACATTGAATTATATTTAGAAAATTATCTTTATATTATTATAGACACGTTTTTGATAACAATAGTGGCCTTTCCCGAAACTGCCAAAACAAACAACAGAATTAATTAAACACTGTTTCATTCAAACAAATACTAGTAAAATTTACCGACAAAGACAGGTATATTTTTTTCTTTCTTTAAGAACATACAAGTAGGTTAATTCGCGTTTAAATAGTCCTGCGGTGTAAAAGTCTACCACTGCAACGATACTCGGTTTGTTGCAAGTTCGAATCGCCTCAAAGGAGGTTAAATCAAATTTCTTAACAATAAAAAAGTATTTATTACCAATTAATTTTTTTATAAAGTCAGATTACGGCGGAAGCATTCAAGTTCACTGGACTGTATTAGTTCATGAACTAACTTCCAAACATTGGATCTAACAACAGTTACTTTTCAAATTCACATATTTTTGAAATAGATCTCTACTGTATAGAACTATTTTACAGGGCCTAGAACGTTATTAAATAAAAAGTAATAAATGATAAGAGATGTGGGTAAGAGTTACGATGTTTTTAATTACTTTATTACGTTCTTTTCCATTCGAATCTACATTTTTGGAAAGGCACATGCAAACGCGGAATCCTTTAAAAAATATGCTTCATTGACGAACAGACTGAATGACTATTATTATATTTTAAGGTAACATAAGTACATGTAAGCATACGGTTTAGTTGGAATGTTTTATGAATTGGATAAATTATTTTCTGTAGTTCGAAAAGTAAATAAATAACATACCCTTTTTATGAATCTTGATTTTCGACAGAAACTCTTAAAGAAGTACTGTTGAAAACCGATTTCTATTTGTTCGACATCAGGCAGTTAAACACAAAGTAAAGTGAAAACGTCTGCTAATTTTGTAATAACTTTTTCTAACGAAACCATTTAAAAAACTTAGTGCATGTCTACGCTACGGTAGTCTAGAAAATTCAATCAGAACTATTAACAAACTGGTCTAGAATACAACCTGCTTGTTATGAGCAGTTCCAATTACACAGGTACTGTAGGTAATTGGTTTCGTAAGTGGCAGTACACCAACGAAGCTCAAGTTCAATGCCAGTCGAGTCAACGGCTCGGACAAGTGCAAGACGAGCGGCAAAAAAGGCATGAATTGTCGATAGAAATTATGTAACCAGGCTTCTTATCAACACTTTTATAGGAAAAAAAACGGTTGAAACGGAATTAATGCTTTGGGCATTTTCTTCCACTTGATCTTTAGGTAATGCAGAGATGCAACTGGTAGGTGATTAAATTCACTTAAAATGAGTCTACTAGTATTGTAATAATATATTTCTATGTACTAAAAATAGAATATAATTCGGGTTTTAAATGAGAGAAAGATTACAAATGCAAATTCAATGATCGGCATGAGATCATATTCATCATAACAACTTACACATTTTAAACATTTTTCTCCGTGTAAGAAGAGGCCTTTGATCAGCAGTGGAACAATTGAAACAACTTATTATGATTTCGATAATGATCACATTAAGATAATAGGCACAAATTATAATTATAAAAACAATAAGTAGTCTATTTTTTATCTCGACAGGCGAAAGGCAAAAAACTGTTAAAGATTTCATTTAGTACTTTATATTAGTATTTCCACACAAAATAAAATGTTGAAAGAGAAATTAATTCTTTCGGATCTTCGACTATGTGCATATTTTGCATGAATAGTTGTATTCCGCATTTTCCAATTCTTATAGGATTTTTAATAGGACTATCAATGTCTTTTCGCAATGCTATCTGCGGATCGACACACAAAGTCATTTACTTTTCTGATACGATGCGATACTAAAAATTAGATATAACCGGCTAAGTTACTCTGATATCAATTTATATTCTTATCTATTACATAAAATGTCTGACGATACATGGCGAATGTATGTTTACAAATTTCGTTGCTTATGCGTTATGCGCAAAACTTTTTTAGGAACTCGTATATCGTAGAACTTAGATCTGGGTATTATTACTAGGTGAAGTCTTAGTTTTCATTATTAGAGCAATGGATTGAGATGTACAAACTTTCCAAACAGCCGGAGCGTAACACCTTATTAAATCATCACGTCTTGGTAGTTTTATATGCCAATACTAAAGTGTTTTGGGGGAAGACAAGTGTTTTATTCGTATTGTTATCGTATTGTCATTTTCAATTATTATCAAATACATTTTCGTTCATTACACGGATTAGATATAAGAAAAATTTCAGAACCTTTCTTTGACATTGATAATCGTAAAGAATTAGCGATGCCAAAATACACCCAAAGCACCAGAAGAGTAAAGAGTGAGTTGCCGGCGTTTTGAGGGTATTTATTTTAAAAAAAAACGTTGCTCCGCTTTAGGATTTTCTCCTGTGCTGTGGGTGCGTTAACAAACTTACAATTTCACATACACAAAACACCTAGACCCGGAACAACAATTTGTGAATTTCAATTTGTGGATCACACAAAGTGTTGTTCCGTGCGGGCATCGATCCCGCAACACTTTGCACAGCCACCGCGCCAACCGTGCAATCTGATGGGGATCCCGCGGATGTGGGATGGCTTGATTATAATCGGAATCAGGATACAGTAGAGACCATGAAGCCCACGGTAGTGTATTTAGTACCTCTATGAACAAGATAGCGAACTATCATGTAAATAGAAGACATTCATAAGTGACAATAATGGACATGAAAACAAAGAAACGGAAGGTTTAGTGTTGATATCAAATACCTATACTAAAAAACCGTGCCTTATCGCAAGCGTACATAAATCATTCATTACTTAATAGGAATCGACAATATTAATTGCTGAAGCTCATGTGTATCATCAGTGCAATGCGTGTAAACCACGTGTTTTGTGAATAATAAGCACCCGTTAGGTACCTACCTACACTGACGTCAGCGAAAATCGACCATTGTTAGTAGATAATGCACAAAAAAATTTACAGTATCTCCAACATTTTCACATGCATGCATATGAGAGATAAAAAAAAGAAATCTTAAATTATTTTTGAAAACACTTTTTTTCACTTATTTGATGTTTATAAACGTTGGTTTTTCATTGTTTAAAGGAGTTAAAGTGCAGTAGGCCTACATCATCATCATCATCATCGGCCCATAAGTGCCCACTGCTTAGCAAAGACCTCTTCTCACATGGAGAAGGTTTGAGCATTAACCCCCAGGCTTGCTCAATGCGGATTGGCAATTTCAAACTTATAATTAGAAATAATAAGTCCAGGTTTTCTCACGATGTTTACCTTCACCGTATGTCATTGGTGTCTAAATAATTATAGAAAGTACATATAACTCGGAAAAAGTTACATTGGTACTTGCCAGGTTTCGAAACCACACCCTCATGCATGAGAAGCGGGCACCTTAACCTCCAAGCCATCACGACGACGATCTAATCAAATATGTCACTGCAATCATTGAATAACTTGGCAAAATCTCTGTCAGCAGTTTGATTTTCGTACTGAAAGGAAGGAGTTATATTCGCTGTCCGGTAAAGAAGGTCAAGTAATGATTCTACTAACATTATAAACGCGAAAGCTTGTAAGCATGGTTAATGTTCGTTACTCTTTTACGTAAAAACTACTAAACGAATTTAAATAAAATTTGCCACGAGAGTAGACAGTCTGTTTTAACACATCAACGTTTTCCTCTGGTAGGTACTGCAAGTGAAGCCGCTGATAGAAACTAGTATAATATTACAAGTAGCATGTGAATAGAGAAGAGCAGTGGAAATTAGAATGAATGAGACTGGTCTAGGCAATGTAAACATAAAGCGACCTTGACCTGATTTGACGAACAGGTTCTAAATCTAGCGAATAGTATTAATAATGTCTCCATCAATACCTTCACAGAATATTAGAATGATGCTATTCTGATGCGAGATAGAATAGAAGAACAAGTTGTTTGCTTGGGGTTTGATGAATTCATAAAGCTATGTAAAACTAGCTAGCGTAACATGGCAAGAACAAGTTCCTAGTTTTATAGGGTAAAGTGGTACTCAAACAGCTCAGACTATTGGTTCTCAATTACAATAATTTACAGGCAACAATGAGCGAATCATCTGGAGTGCGCGTGCCTGCTGATTGGTCATAAATGATGATAACTACGTAACATTGGCAGTTTCCACGCGACCGTAGAGAACAACCGTTGATTGTTTTGAATCCCCATGAATATAGTATGATTGATACTATCAAATAAATTACGTATGATTTTAGTCGCGTGAGGACGAAGATCATCTTTATGTAACATCATGGCTAACTTTCTTAAAGATCGCAATTCTTACAAGTTGTGGGTCTAGTTTATGTGAACAGGAAAAAGAGAAATGATAGAAATTGTGTGATGGTGGATGTAAAAGAAACAAACACGTTGTCTAAGATTCCCTATTTATAAGCTATGCAATGAGGCTAAACAAAACCAAAAACATCTATAACTGCTCCTATTCCTCCTGCTGTTTTCGACAGATGCTGGCAGCGCTCTCTGGTAAATGACAATCCTTCGAAATTACGCTTGTCAAGCCTTTGTTATGGACGATCCATAGTCTACATAACACTGGACCTATATATACATTAACTACATACCTACTATAAAACAAAGTCGCTTTCTCTATCCCTATGTCCCTATGTATGCTTATATCTTTAAAAGTACGCAACGGACATTGATGCGGTTTTCTTTAATAGATAGAGTGGACGAAGACGAAGATTAGATTATCATTAGTCTTCGCACAGGTTTCTAGTCTAATGTACTCTGAATATATTCTTTTCTCTTGCGTACAAATCGCCGTATTTGCTATAAAACAAGCGTCGAATACAATCGTTTTCTTGTATCATAATAAATTACACTAACTGAAACCGCTTACTACCCAGAAAACAGAACATAGGTTACAAGCTGATATTTTTAGTACGTAAGGTAAGGTTCAACATTTGCAATGAAATGTTTGGCAACTACGTTGTTTGTGCACGGTATAAAAACAGTTCCTGTTTACTCCTGCTAGCCTAGTACCCGACGATTTGAGACAATAATATTGTCATAGATGTTATTGTGTTTATCATAGTGCTATGACAGAGAATTTACATCCGTAATTAATGATACATGAGGATGATCTAGAATAATTAATAGCAACGACGTTTACAGTTTGACTCTCATGGCGGGCAAAATATCCATGCATAAGGGTGTTTTTAGTTAGTGGGTAGAAATATTTAAATGACTGCCGCCAGCGCCATCTCTTACACTAGATTTGTCCTTGAACATGAATTACCATCAAAGTTCAAAAGTGAAATAGAATTATAAATAGATGGCAGTGCAACATTGTAGTGCTTGTGACGTTTGTGGATATATCTTACGATATAAAATAACAATGGCGCCAAACAAGCAATATTTCAAATATTAATATTTCTCGTATTAAAACGTAACAAATACAAAATAACCTTGAACAGTTCAAGTGCAAACATGTTTTTGTAGTACAATATCCAGTAACCTATTTCATAAACAACGTAAAACGCAATACGCACTCAATGGTGCGCTAGCGCATTGGCTAGCCACGTGATCGTGACGCCCATACAGTTGTTGCCAAGTGCACATTATACGGAACTTACATTATAAAATGCGATCGTTCTACCATCCGTGTTAGCGTAGGTCCTGTATGCAGAGATCATAACTCTCCTTTTTTACAGAACTTGATTAAAGACTGTTTTCTCAATCTCAAAAGTTACCTGGGCAATAAATATGTATGATGCTGTCGCGTCAGAATGTTTGTATAAGACAGTGACAGCAACAATTTTATTTTTCAGATATCAGACATTTATCTGATTATTGAAAAATCAGCCCTTAATGATATTGTTCGGTTTTGAGGTTAACTCGAGGTTTTGTATGAAAGAAATGTACAACGTACTACATCGATAATGACGTATCTGAGTACGAAACATGATTGTTCCTAAACATCAATTCAACAAACAGTTTGTGTTCTTGAAAATAACAAATCTAGAACAATTGGGGGAGTTATTAAACACTAGCTACCCTCGCGCGGTTTCACCCGCTGCTCGGCTGCATTTGATCGTAGCGTGATGTTTTATAGCCTATAGCACTCAAGAACATTGTAGCTAACTATCAGTGAAAGAATTTTAGCAATCCGACCAGCGGTTCAAACGATTACCCCCAATATACAAACTTACTTTACCTCTTTAAAATATTAGTAATTAGTAAAGAAAATATCAATAATACGCGGCTCAATAATCAGCAGTTGGATACAAAAGTCAAAAAAATTAATCGTCCAAAGTCCATAAGCTGGATGCATTTACATAATGCAGTCATTCGTATTTATCAGTTCATAACTTCGTATCATATTATGTAGATTCAGTTTACATGTATACCTACTTGCATATTTGATTATTCCGATAACATTGCTTCCTTTTTTTGTGCATTTTTTACTTATCAAACTACGTTTTTGAAGTCAATAAACGAGGGTGGAAAAAAATATCTAACTTTAAAAAGACAGGTGCGCTACTATGGCACAAATACCAGCGACATTTTATGTTTATTTTAATATTGAGTGAGCTTTAGCAATTCACGTGCTTACCTAGATAAATACTAATTAATAAAATTAAATTTATTTATGTAATAAATGAAGTACTTACCGACTTTCCATTACTTCTCAGTCCAATTTTACCGTGGTTTACGGCTAACGATACCGCATTTTTTAAGGCACTCATTTTTAGAATTACCTGTAAAGATATAAATATATTAATCAACCTTTCAACCGCGACAATTCGAGAAACAATAGAAGAATAGTAAGTGCACAAACACCGGCTTTCGGTTGGGGTTTGATGAATTCATATCAGAATAAGTATTCTAAAGATATGACAAATAAATTTTTAAAGTAATAAGTTGAGAAGCTATTGACTAGATCTGGATATCGTCCTAACTAGTTTTTGTCTGGAAAAATGCCAAGTATAAGCTTTTACTTACACAAATATTCGAAATCTAATACTTATATGTATAAAAATGAAATGCTGTTCGTTAGTGTCACCAAATCTCAAGAACGGCTGGTCTGATTTGGCTAAATTCGGTCTTGAAATGTTTATGAATTTCCAAGAAAGGTTTAGAAGATAAGAAAAAATTAGTTTAGATTTTGAGGCGAAACGAAGTTAGCCTGGTCAGTTACTTACTTACTTATAAAAATTATTGAAATACTGGGAGAGATACCACAGAGACGTTGAATGTTATGATGCCTTTGGACGGCAATTTATGACTGAACACTGCAATTTTATTATTTAACTGAATTATGAGCAATTTCGTCTAATCTAACATATTTAGTTATTACTTATGAACGTCTGAAATCAGTGACGACATGCAACGCCAATTACTAGCGAAAATATTTTTAGGCGATTTTGGCAAAAAATCGCAGTTCACAAACAAAATGGTCATACTACACTACTACATATTCTAACTAACCAATCTAAAGGGCCTTTACAAATGTTAAGTATATTTTGCAATATTGAATAGCGTGGATTAATTTGCATTTCAAACCTGTTCCTTCCATAAAGAATTCTGTGTCAATCCGCGTATAATAAAGCTTTCTATGGATGAAAGGATTCTCTAAAATTTGCCGAATATTAGAGAAGTCTGTTACAACATAACGAGTTACTTGACATATTGGTCAGCTTTTTTATGAAATAGATTTTATGCAAACGAGCAGACAGGTACCCTGGTGGAACCTACGAGCACCGTCCTATGACACTTACAACACAAAGAAAAGAGGAGTCTAAAATATTGGGCCTCGGGTAACCTCACTCACACGGCGAAAGACAACCTGTGGTTGTTTCATGTACATTTTCTGTGAGGTCGTGGTATAACTCCGATTGAACCGACCCATTCGTGCCGCAGCTTGGCTTTCCCAGCTGCTCACACTCCCTAACTTTTCACTCACACATGACCAAATACAGATGATCAATATTTGCTTTTAAATTTTAAATGAGTAGGTATGCTTTCGTTTGTATTGGTTCTAAAACCGACTGAGTCAATGTAACACGTGCCTGCAAGTGACCAATTGTTTTTATTGGTGATACGTAACGTTTTGAGATCAGGGTCGCGGGTTCGATAGCCTCGCGGGGCAGCTAGATGGCTAGCGCCTAGCTTCGGCAATGTACACTAGCTTCGTAGTAAATGGCACTTTAATTGCAGTGACATTATTTAAACACGAAAACTACCTTCTAAAATTTTAGTCTCTAAACCTAATAGAGGAGCTTGGCAATCCATACGAAGCTCTTTTTAGAAGGCCTTTGACCAGCAGTGAATATTCAAACAGAGTTCCAGGGCTAGCGCGGCCTCGGCCTGAAGCAGGCGAAGGCACCGGGTTGTTTGTAGTCAGTAAGAGTCTGACACAGTCTTGCCTCACCCTGGGATAGAGAAAAAATTTGATGACTTCTTCCCACTTTAAAAAAATCTAAGTAATCTGGTGATTTTTGGTGATGTTGTCTATTGGTAAAACAATTCAATAAAAATAACTATTTATAATAAATTAATAACATCACTGAAGTTATCGTTTAGACTGCCGGCTAGGCACAGTGATTTGGAGCACTTTCTGCGTGACACAATATGTACCCAATAGTATAATGTTATTAAATATTTATATCTTCTCCACACAAAACAGCCTGAATGCCTAAGGTATTCTTTAACAGTCAACCATGTTATTGGAGCATGATACAAGGTAATAAGTTTTGTTTTATTTACAAATCGGACTGTGGATTCAAAGTCCAGAGTCTATTAATAATGTGATCTTAAAGTCCTCTAGATAAGGTCTACACTTTGGACCCTGCTTAGTGATATAATACTCTGTAATAACTCAGAAACAAATTGAAAGATCTTAGAAGTGTCAACTGCAATATTAGGGATGGACTGTTCACGCTAGTAGAAGGCAAAAGCCCTTAAAATACTGAATGGACACTGCATTACAACATAAAAAGGAAAAGGAGCAAACAGTTCAGAAGATGGGCTGATGACTTTTTTGTGCAGGTAAAACAATCAAATGACCTCTCTCGCCCAAGATGCGGCGAAAGGGAGTGTCAGACTCTTATACTGGCTAAATCCTGCTCCAGGCCAAAGCCGCAGTACCTTAAAGCGCTTGCCATCTAATAATAATACTATTAAAGAGTTGAAGTTATTAAGTTTATTTTTCTGAATGTGCTCTTTGTTACACCTAATTTGAACGAAAAAAAACAATATATTGAAGGAACCAACAGCAGCATCAGATCTCCTCAAAAATGTGAGAATAAAGCAAAATACCTTTGCCTAACAATTTGTTCTTGGAATTGTGGAGTACCAGCACTGATTTCAATTTGTTGTTACAGTTATTAACAAAACACTTTTTTCAGTAAGTAAGTAATTAGTTTATTTAATAAAAATAGGTAAAAAAACTTTTTAAGTTAAACGGTTTTATGTTAAACATACATTGCAATGTTTAACATAAATGTACTAAACACCAGAAAATAATAAAATAGATACAGTCGTGGGAATTATAAACATATGCATAGACTAGACTAAAATAAAACCGTGGGGCACGTCAATTGTCTACAATCGTTATTAAAATGTTTGTTTTGTAATGTACAATAGATAATTAGGCAGTTGTTCAACTGTCAACGATGGACTTGTTATAAGTAGCGCTAGAATGTGGAAACGAGTTTTAGGGTTTCATAGTCGTGAGTGAGTAGTACGTTTATTATATTTACATGGAGTGTATAACTATTGGAATTTCCATGAGCAAGAAAATAGTAAGTAAATTCCTCACCGTCTGCGGGTCAACTACCTAACGACGAATTAAAGCGCGATTTGTAGACAATTGACGTGCCCCACGGTTTTATTTTAGTCTAGTCTATGCATATGTTTATAATTCCCACGACTGTATCTATTTTATTATTTTCTGGTGTTTAGTACATTTATGTTAAACATTGCAATGTATGTTTAACATAAAACCGTTTAACTTAAAAAGTTTTTTTACCTATTTTTATTTTCTAGTTTTTAGTTTTTATTTCGCATTCTGTTTAATTCATTTCATACTTCATTATTGCAAGGTTTCTTGCCCGTTAATGTATTGCAGTCCAACTCCTCTATACGTAGTCCCTGCAAAGATCTTACTCCACTAAGAGCCACCTGATTGTTCCCGTCGTTTCTGTAATCGACTATTTATATCACCTTCACTCTGCAAGGATTCCCAACTTTTTTGCAGCCAGTTGAGGTTTTGCTTCGATGTATGGCCCAAAATTGTTAAAAGTCAGCGTTATACCAAGAAGATCAAGATGGTCAGTTATCGGCACGGATACACCCCGGAAAGTTGGAGCAGGACTAAATTGACTCCTTTTAGCAGAAAATAGACAAGCTTGAGTTTTAGCTGCATTGAACCTGACCATGTTGGCATCGCCCCATTCAGAGACAGCCTCCAAGGACAAGTTCAAGTGCCCAACCATAGCCTCTCGAAGAGACTGGATCTGTGACCCACTGGCTTGTGCGCCGGATGTGTAGCTCTCAGCAACAGTGCTGTCGTCTGCATACCCAAAAAGACCGGGCTTAAGCAGGTCATGTATGTGCAACAAAAACAATGTTGCGGAGAGCACTGACCCCTGAGGGACCCCAGCATTGATGGTCATTTGACTCGACGAACAACCATTGATGACCACACGGATGGACCAATCCCTCAGAAAGTTTGCGATCCAAACACAAAATCCAGTAGGTAAACCGAATGAGGGAATCTTACTAATAAGGCTTTCGTGCCATATCCTATCGAAAGCCTTCGAGATGTCAAGACCCCCAGACCATACCCCAGAAGTCCAATAAAGGGGCAAGGCTATGTACAACAAGATGTGCCTGAGTCTTGAGGGGAAAACGGTAACGACATATCATTTTTATCCACCCTAATGCCATACAGTTCTCGGCGCGTTTTAACTTTTAACTTGGGTGGTATACCGCTAACGACGTATCATTTTTAGCCACCCTAACGCCACACAGTCCTCAACACGATACAAAGTCTTGAGACGTGGGTGGTGGATTCAGGCTGGATTAATCAGATACCTTTTTTTATGTGATAGGACGGCAAACGAGCATACGGATTACCTGATGGTAAGCAATCAGCGTCGCCCATGGACACCCGCAACAAAGAAGGAGTTACAGATGCGTTGCCGACCTTTTAGGGATTGGGAAGGGATTGGGCCTCCGGTAACCTCACTCACACGGCGAAACACAACGTTGTGGTTGTTTCACGCCGGTTTTCTGTGAGGCCGTGGTATAACTCCGGTCGAGCCGACCCATCCGTGCCGAAGCATGGCTCTCCCAAACTTAAATATAAATAAATTATACCAAAATTACAGATTCAATTTCTAATTTTAAATCTTATTATTATACGCCATTTAGTGGCTGCGCCCATCTTAAATATTGAGGTTGTATAGTGCACTGTATTCTTCTTGTCAAGCCCTTTTATTTGATACCCATATTTATGGGATTGATAAAAAATTGTTATCAGCCATTTGGTAGCGGCAGCCATCTTAGATTTTAATTTTGCATAGTAAATTGTATTCGCATTGTTGAGCCCTTTCATTTGATACCCATATTGATTAGATTGATAAAACCCACGTTATCCGCCATTTTATAGCGGCCGCCATATTGGATTTTAATTTTTTATCGTGCATTTTATTCTACTTGTTGAGCACTTTCATTTGATACCCATATTGATGGGATTGATAAAACCTACGTTATCCGCCATTTTGTAGCGGCCGCCATCTTGGATTTAAATTGTTTATAGTAGCTATATTGTATTCTGCTCGTTGAGCCCTTTCATTTGATACTCATATTGATGGGATTGATAAAACCCACGTTACCCGCCATTTTGTAGCGGCCGCCATCTTGGATTTTAATTTTTTATAGTACATTGTATTCTACTCGTTGAGCACTTTCATTTGATACCCATATTGATGGGATGGATAAAACCTGCGTTATCCGCCATTTTGTAGCGGCCGCCATCTTGGATTTAAATTGTTTATAGTAGCTATATTGTATTCTGCTCGTTGAGCCCTTTCATTTGATACCCATATTGATGGGATTGATAAAACCTACGTCATCCGCCATTTTGTAGCGGCCGCCATTTTGGATTTATAATTGTTATGATTACATATAATTGTATTGTCACCAAAAGCAAAAGTGTATACAAAATTTCAGATTAATCGGTTGACAGGAAGAGGGTGAAATTTGAATTACTAAATTTGACCCAAGAAAGAATAAAGGTGAGCTAAATAAAACCGTTTAAAAAAGGAAGTTAAAACTGAACTCCATGTTTTAAATAGGAAGCCAACCTGCATAGTCATTTTAATGAAATTAGGTGACTGTTTTATTTACATTTGTAATGAATGATATGCTTTTAGACTGAAACAATCAGTGGTACATGGCACATTGATCTATGACCTTTGGGCTCTGGCGTAACTAACAGGCATATTAGTATCAGAATCCTATGTGAAAGTTTGTAAGGAATTATCAAAATGTTTGCTGCTTTTCACACAAAAATTACTCAATGGATCTTGATGAAACTTGGGTATTTTTACAGTTGAGTAAGTCAAGCCACTGGGAGAAATTTTGAATTAATAAAGAGCATAAATTAAATTTTAAAATAGGGTCTAAAAGAAGTTTTTTGACAATAGTTCTCAAAGAGTAGAAAGATTTGTAAATACATAGAATGTCACAGCACTTTTGATGACAGAGGAAAGCCAAGGAAGTGTCATACACCTGCCAGGAGACATGATAGTGACCCTGTTTTTTTACCCAGAATTATCAAATATCCAGAAACTTAACTCTTCAAAATAAGTAATTAAAAGAATTAAATGATTTAAATATTCCTTATTATATACAAATCTAGTTAATGACATTTAGACTGGAGTAACACTGCTTTTTAAACTATTATGTGTTTTATTTATAAGTATAAAATAAAAAAGTAACAAGCACTTTGATTGAACTAAGAATATTTTATGACATACACATACAAAACACACAATATTACATATTTTATTTGAGTTTGATAGTGACCCATTTATTAATTCATAAATTCGAATAATTTTAATTACTTTTAGTATTATTCATTCACCTGATAGAAGAAAAAGTTACCTTTCCTTTATATGAACTCAATGTTATAGGTATGTACAAGGAGTTAGAAGTTAATATACTAAACAAACTAATCTGACCTTGATAATATTACTAATAAAGAAGACAATACCTATTCTTATTAATATTTAATATGCATTATTCATCCATTAGATAACTGGTGTTTAAATTATTACTACACTTAATATGTAAGTCTTCTTGATAACAGTTTAGGCAATAAGCAGAACAATGCTTATGAATAATAAATGGACAGTAGCTTCTTACTGTTAAAATTCATTTGGACTAATTTTGTTGATGAACTTCAATAAATCATTGTTTACAACATTACAATAGATAACAAGAAATTTTATTTTTTAACTGGCTGGTAAGAAAATAAAACTATAGAGCCCAATAGATGGTAATTTTTAAACAGGTCACAAGGCAATGGCATAACTCTATTCATCCAATAATGAAATTACTATTTAAATTTAAAATAACGGCCCAAATTTATTACAATAGATAGGTGCATTGCAAATGCAATGCAACATAGTAAGGATAAGCTGATGCCAAGCACAATCTAATGGGTATACATTTAAATATAATTATATCCAAGGCCGACATAGATTACGTATTTAGATAGTATCTACGAAATAGAGAGTTCCATGGTATTACACAAATAATAAATTAAGTATTTTATTGAGTTCGTAAATATTTAAATGTTCGCATATTTCATAATTTAATTAAAGTTCAAATACACAGCTACCGGCTAGCCAATTCATATTCGAAATAACCAAGAAGTAAAACAAAAATATTGATTAACGAAATTCAGCATTTGTTTACCTACCCGTAAATGTAGACAAATAAATGTAAATTATGACACAAAAATAAATAAATACAACAAGAAAATTATCTGTATAAAACGCATCTCTACACTAATGGGGCCATATTAGTTAACAAGTTACAATTTCCCTGCCATCCCGTGCCGGCGAGCATACGGTGCACAAAGTAGATACATATTGCAGAACTACTCAAGTAACTTTGTACAAACAGTTAGGTATCTAATTAATTAGTAAACAAGCTAACTTACCGGTTTAATAAAAAAATAACTACAAACAAAAATCTAATAATTACACCGGAATGAAACTTGAGAGAAACTACACGGTAGAACGGAGGTAGCACTGCACTCACTAAAATTTATTTTAATAAAAAGCAACAAACACGCACGCTCCTAATGCGTGATTTGACGACTTGACGTGCGTGACAAACACGAACACGAAGTGCGGACAGCGTAAAAAACATATCCTACAGCTGGCATTCGGAATGATCAATGCAAGTAAATATAAATCAGGTAATAATAAATAATAAATATAAAATAAAACTAATATAAAACTGTTTTATAAATAAACTGTTAAATATTTATCTTATTTTACTATTTATATATAAATCAGTAAAATCTGAATTAAAACCATAAAACAGTTATTGAACGATTGCTAAAACGTCACTGTCAAAATCACATGAACTTTTCATGTCATTTTCGAGACGTCAACGTCAATCCGACTCGTGTTCTTGTTGTGCATAGCATGTGGTTATTTATTTTTGTGTAATTAATTAAGTGAGATTTTTATGCAATTATAGTGTAATCTTCTGCAAAAATGAATGAAAACGACGGGAAAGAGTTTGCAGAACTTGGTGTCAAGACATGGCTCATCAAAGAGTTATTTAATCTTGGTATGTGGTAGTGAGAACGTAAATAAATCGCTACATTTGGTTTGAAACACAAATCTAAACTTTATTTTAGTTTTATACACTAGCTATTTGATTTACCTGTTACGAAATTAAAATTTCATTAATTTTTTTCTATCTCGAAAGCTAGAAACTTAGAATTTAATACATATTTCAGTACATAATAACTTAAGCTCCAGAAACTTGACTAAAAAATTTAGGTTATGAATGATAAACTTATTACAGGTATAAGAAGTCCTACGCCTATTCAAAAAGGTTGTATATCTCGAATTTTGGCTGGTGACGACTGTATTGGCGCGGCTAAGACAGGTTCTGGCAAAACCTTTGCATTTGCACTCCCTATACTCCAACACTTGGCTGAAGATCCATATGGCATCTTCGCCTTAGTACTGACTCCTACTCATGAATTGGCTTATCAGGTAAATAAATATCTTTATATATAAAAATTTTGTGTAATATGTTTGTCCACAATCGGCTCCTGAACTACTAAACCGATTTTAAATTTGATTTGCGTGTCGTGTGCATTTTGATCCAACTTGAAAGATAGGATAGCTTACATCTCAATTTATAGTCACAATATTAATTTATTTGTCCATATGTAATATGACAAGAACCTTAGCCACAGCAATGCATGGCTGGGTCTGCTAGTTATTATTAAAAACTTTCCTTACTTCATACAAACAAAACTTCATTTGGTATTTCAGCTGGAAAGGGATTATTATGTATTTAATTTTGCATTGTGTTCATTAATAGTCAATCTAATTTTTCTGTAGTTCTGACAATATAAGTTGGTAGATTAAATTATTTCTTACAACAATTACAGATTGCAGACCAGTTTAGTATCCTTGGACAGCCATTAAAACTAAGAGTGTGCATAGTGACTGGAGGCTCAGACCAGTTAGAGGAGTCTCTCAAGCTGGCCAAGCGACCCCACATAGTAGTTGCAATGCCCGGACGATTGGCCGACCATATTACTGGTTGTGACACATTCAGCTTGAAGAAGGTCAAGTATTTAGTACTTGATGAGGCTGACAGGTAAACTTCTTGATCTATATATATTAAAATCAATGCCACTTTTTGTTGTAATGTTAATAAATGCCTTTACAAATTTGGCTAATTTTAAGTCCAGAGGTGCATGGTTGCCCATGTCTCCGCCCACATGGAAGATAATTTTACACCTTTTAAGTTCAAAAAAACGTGTTAACTAGTTTATTATAAGCCTTTAATTGGACAACACAATATTGCTTTAACAGTAAATTAAAATTCATAGAAATTTTTTCCTATTGTCCTTTTGCCATGAGGCAAAGGCCTCCTCCAACCTTCTCCATTCTGGCCTTTGTATGGCCACACTGCATGTTCTTCCTGTAATTTGTCACTTGCCATCATCCCACCTCCTAAGTGTTCTGCCTCTCTTTCTTTTCCATTCATAGGGTGCCAATGTGTATGTTTTTTACTCCATTTATCCTTTCCTCTGATCATGTGCCCTGTCGATTTCCACCTTTGTGCCCTGCACATTTCCACCTTTGTGACCTGCCCATTTCCACCTTTGTCTTCTCATTTTCAGACATATGTTCTTGACCTTAGTCTAGCTTCTGATGTTGCTATTTCTCATTTTGTCCTTTGTTTTAAAAGATTAAAAGAAAGGACTAAGTAAAAGATACTTCAAAATAGTGTGATGATAACTATAAGATAAATTGTTAATGAAATTCTTATACAAACTATTAACAAAATTGCTCTTATGATTGTGTACAATTTATTTGTTTTGTTTTTATTAAAAAATATTGAGTATTTATATTCTAAAGATTAATTATTTGTCAGAATTCCTTATACAAAGAAATGGAAAAATTTCATAAAAAATATTGAAGGAAAACATCCTTAAATACTTTTTTCTTTATTTATTCTTGCAGATTGTTCAGCGAATCGTTTCAAGATGACCTGGAGACAATATTCAATGCATTACCAGCTAAGCGACAGAACTTGTTATTCTCAGCAACAATCACTGAAGATGTTCGGGATTCCAAAATATTACCACTTAACAAAGACGTAAGTTACTTTATTTATTTACATAACTATAACATACAAAAACCATAACTCTATTACAGTATATTTTTTGGTTATCATACCTTATCAAAATCCATTGCGTAGTTTTAAAGATTTATGCATATATATGGACAGAGAAAGCGACTTTGTTTTATCATATTTTGTGATTATATGTATAGACTTTCCACAGCTGTTTTATTGTGTTAGATTGATAATTATACATGCACATTGCTTTTCAATCACTATCTATTAAAAAAAATCGCGTCAAATCCATTGCATAGTATTTAAGGTTTAAGCGTAAAGTCGCTTTCTCTTCTTTTATACTTTGTACTGACTTTACTAATAATTTCTAGAAACTTCTAACTTGGACGGAGACCGACAGCCAATTGACAGTGTCGACGCTAGACCAGCGGTACGTGGTGTGTCCAGCGTACGCCCGCGACGTTTATCTAGTGCAAACTCTGCGGAAGTACCGCGAAACCAAACCTAGCAGCCATATCATCGTCTTCACTGATACTAAAAAGTAAGTCTACGTAACTTCTTTATTTTAAACCTACCATTGGGGTAGTCAGTTGAACCGACTACGGTACAACACATGTAATGGCAGTAGCAGTGCTTTTTTTATTTTGCGCCAAAATGTCGGCAACGCCCTTGTAACTCCTCCGTTGTTGCCGTGCCATGTTGGATGTCCATGGGCAGCGCTGATTGTTTATCGTCAGGTAGGTAATCCGTCTGCTCGTTTGCCGTCCTATCACATAAAAAGTGAATTATTCACAATAGTCCTCCATCAACCAGGGATTGCACTTGGATGCACTTTCATAGTGCATACAAGGATAATTGGATAGTTTCCTAGGTCAAAAATAAATTAATTCGACGTTTCAATACGATAAAATATTGAAAAATAACTATACTTTTATTCATCAATCTATCGATACACTAAGTTTTAGATATTTTTTAGCTAAATATTAAGAAATAATCACGATATTTGACGTAAAAATACTAGGACGTCATAACTCATTGTGTCAACAATTTTCATAAAAAAGTATCGTTTTTGACATTTGGATAAAAGTATTGAATTTGACTAGTTGGAAACTACCGTATTGCCGGCTGATGCCACATTTCACTTATATTAAAGTTGTTCGAAGAGCCTCTGCGAGTTAGCTTCGGCCTCTCGTACGCCCTCCAAAAGTCCGGGACCCTGTTGAGTGGAAAAGAATGTACAGAACAAATAATCCAACAATTTGTGGATCATACAAAGACACCGGCCGCCCAATTACTGCGCCAATTGTGCAGTCAAAATGAAAATTTCAAAGCTTCTATCCGATCCGTTTGTGACGCGATAGAAACTGTCACGTTAGAACCAAATTTTTCTTTTTCTTAAAACTTAATCGTCATATTCTCTTTATTCATCCTCAAATCCGTAACCCCCAATAAGCCGGGAACAAACTTTCAACTTCTCTGGGCGGCTTCCATTGCTTACTATCAGGTGACACAGCTCTTGAGCGCCCTATCTCATAAAAATACGAATACAAGTCATCACAAAAAAAAACTTTTCAGAGAGTGCCAAGTCCTATCAATGATGCTGAATGCGATATCCATGGATAACGTATGCCTACACGGCTTCATGAGACAGAAGGAAAGGGTAGCAGCCCTGACGCAGTTCCGCAGTAACCTTAAATGTACCCTGGTAGCTACTAATGTGGCTGCGAGAGGTCTGGACATACCGACAGTGGATTTAGTTGTCAATCACAAACTGCCTTTGGAACCTAAGGAGTATATTCACAGGTAAGCCATAATTTTTTCTATAGTAACTATCGTGGGTTATACTAAATTTATTGATTAACATAGGTTGGCTCGAAAACCGGCGTGAAACAACCACAGCGTTGTGTTTCGCCGTGTGAGTGAGGTTACCGGAGGCCCAATCTTCCCCTCCCCCAATCACAAAATCTCCAAATCCCTAAAAAGGTTAGCAACGCATTCGTAACTCCTCACTTGTTGCGGGTGTCAATGGGCCGCGCTGATTGCTTTCCATCAGGTAATCCGTTTCCGCTCATTTGCCGACCTAAGTATCACATAAAAAAGTCACAACGGAATTATCTACCCTTATACTCTCTAATATTATTAATGCAAAAACCTGTGTGGATGCATGAATAATATATGTTATTAGTAATGTTTATAACTCTTTAATCCAAAATCTACTGAACGGATCTTGATAAACTTGGCATATCGATAAATTACAGTGTGGAATAACCTCCTCAAACGCTCAAGCTGCTGACAAAATATGTATATTATGATCATAAATTAATAACTTAAAGATAATATTATTGTCTTAATAAAAAACCTACTCCTTACCTTCCAGGGTTGGCCGTACAGCTAGAGCTGGGAGAAGTGG